TCCGTCGCATGTGCCATGTCCCCAGGCCTGAGCCAGGGAAGTACAGTAGGTGGCTTCTCTCTGCTAGGGAATTCAGGGAGCACATTTAGGTCAGCCCAGTCTTCCCCAGCAACCAGGCTTTTCTTCATTGAGATGCCAGCTCTAGAAATGCGTGCTCACAAAGTTTACATCCCAGCAAGCAAAATGGGAAGTCGGACATTACACATGCAGCATGTACTGCAAGACAGAACTTGCAGGGAGTCCTAAGCCATGGGTTCAGGATCCCCTTCTCCTATTACAAGTAAGTGATGCTTCAGCTGAAACTTGAGTGCTGAGCAGAAGGAAAGCTTGGATGATGTTTCAGGTCAAGGGAGCTCTCAAGACCTGGAGGCAGCTGAAAGGAGCCTGAGGTATCACAGACCTGAGATGTTCAAACTGGCCAAGGGTGGGAGTCCAAGTCCAAAGGGTGAATTGGTGCTTAGGAGATGGACAGTGGCCCCTATCTGTGACGGTCTCCCTGCAGATGCTAGTTGGGGGAAAATTCCATCTCTAAAACCAACATCTGTGCAGAGCTGGGTCGCCATCTACAGGGAGCTGGGATGGGAGGAGCTGAAGCCCTGCTCTGTGTTTGCCTACTGATGAGGCAAGGACGCCCATCACTCGTTAATGAGCGCTGACCTCCAGGGTTCTCAGGATGCCAGGTTTTGTCCAAGTCTTTTTAGAGACCACTGACCAGGTTCCTGGAATGAACGTGGCACAAAAGGGCCTTTCAGGACCTCCTGTTGAATAGTGTTTTGTTCCCATTGAAACTTTTAAAGATGTGGGAAGAAAACTGAATTGCAAATGAACTAAATTCTGCTTCTCCTAGTGGGCAGACAGGCACTCTGAGGATGGGAGGGCAGGCCATCAGGGGGCAAGGAAGCTGCCCAGGCCTGAACTGGGTCATGGACTCAGCACCTGTGGTTAATGAGCATCCTTGGGTTTACAGCTGGAAAACTCAAAAAGAAGACTGATGTTGTTGGGCACAGTGGCATACAGAGCAGTCAAATGTACCAGCAGACACAGGTCCTCTTCTCTTGAGCACTCAGAGATTCAGGGAAGGCTCAGCTTAGGATGAAAGCCAATGCTTTTCCAGGGAAGGGCTGAGTTTATGTAAGGAAGAGGTCACAGAGGAAAAAATAATGTAAATGTCTTTTACAGCAAATGGCACGATATTTATCTACACTTATAACAATAGAAATGCAAATTAAGACAATAACCAGAGAGTGTTTCAAAACTCTCTGTGATAGGCAGAAATCCAAACATGTGGTGCACACTGCCTGTGTGGAGCGGCTGTGGGGAAGGAGGCATGCTCAGACACGGATGCACCACGTGTGAGTGGCCCATAAGCCTTGCAAGCAACTCTGCTGGGGGGTAGGAGATTATCCTGGACATTTATGGACTTATTGCATATAAGGAATTGATGGCCATCTGTTGTGATCTTATTGTAAGAGACTGGAAAAAGCCTAAATGCCCATGATAATAGGAATAGGGTCTTTGAGTTACAGGCCATTGTAGTGAAATTCTAGACATTTAAAAATACCTGCTACTTCTGTATGTTTGCCTAGGGAAGGATCATGAAGGTAAAATATTAACTGGGAAAAGTAAGACACAGATCTTTGCAGATCAGAGTACCAATGTTTGTGGATGGAGGAATGAGGGAAACAACACAAACCACCCATATTTATTTATGAACAGAAAATACCTGCCAGAAGGTACACAGCCAAGCATCAGTGGTGACCTCTGGGAGGACTGGCGAGTTGCAGTCTACTCGGTGGGAAGGGAGACTTATACTCTAGAAGTTATGTTAGCAACGCCATTTACCATTATTATTTTTATTTTTCATTACTAGAAATCAAACTCATGACCTTGCACTTGCCAGGCAGGTGATTGTGCTGCTGAACTAAATTCCAAGCCCTATCATTATTATTATTATTGAATTGAACTCAGTACCTCAGGATTGGTAAATATACACTCTCCCACTCAGCTATCCTCCAGCCTCAGTATTTGAATTTTTTTCCTCAAATACTTGGGTTACTTTTTCAAAAAGATAGTGAAAGAAAATAAAGCAAAACACAAAGAAAAATGCAATGAAAACTTTACATTCAGAAATAAACACTGATTAAATTTTAGCTCATGCTTTTTTATTGTTTTTAAATTAATATCAAATTTAAAGAAAAGTTGCAGCAATATTACAGAGAACATGAATACACTCCTTACTCAGACATGCATTTTCTCCATCAGCTTTCTTGTTCTCCGTCTCACCCCGCTTATTCCCTACACACAGGCTAAGTAACCCTAAACTGAAATGCTTGGGACCAGAAGTGTCTCAGAGTTTGATTCTGGGGAGCTTTTGCATATGCATAATGAGGCCCTAAACAAGAAATTCATTTGTTAGGCCGCAGATTTAGTTCAGCGGCATAAACGCCTGCCTGGCAAGTGCGAGACTACAAGTGCAAGATTATGAGCTCATTCCCAGTCCCCTGCCCCCCGCCCCCCAAAAAAAGCAAGAGAAGAAATTCATTTGTTTTCCATGTATGCCTTATGCACATAGCTTGATGGTGATTTTATGCAATATTTTTAGTGTATCTGCATTACGACTGCCTCCCCATCACATGAGGTCAGGTGCAGAACTTTCTACTTGTGGTGCCATGTGACACTCAAAAAAGTTTCAGATTTAGAGCATTTTGGATCTCAGGTCTACAGATTCTGATGTTCAACCTGAATATGTGTATGTGTGTGTGTATGTTCATACATACACAACTATGTATTTATACATGTATCTGCAACTCTGTATGGAAATATTATGTAGGTGTGCAGAGTAAATTTACCTGAGAGTGAATTTCCCCCTACTACTAAGTATTTCACTATGTATTTCCTGAAATAGAGGATATTGATTTATACAACTATAATGTAATTAACAATACTGGGATATTTAAAGTTAACGCAATACTATTTCTAGTCTAGAGGTATTATTTAAATTTCATCAATTGCCTTACTAATGTCCTGCATAATATTTTTTTCCTGGTCCAGAATCTAATCCAGAACCACACTATTCCATGTACTTGTCATCACTTATATTCTCCTTTCATCAGAAACAATTCTTTGCTCTTTTTTTTTCCTTTATGACCTTGTTGTTCTGAAGAGTGGAGGCCAATTGTTTTGCAGAGCATCCCTAAAGATTTGCCTGTTTCCTTATGACCAGACTCAACAGCACAGAAATGATGGTCTGTCCTTAGAGCCCTTGGTTAAAAGGCCAGTGAAATCACCATGCTCCATTAGTGGTGTCATGTACACATGTTTTTAAAAACATAGCAATTGGGGCTGGGGATTTAGCTCAGCGGCATAAGCGCCTGCCTTCCAAGCAGGCAGTCGTGAGTTCGATCCCTGGTACCGAAAAAGACAAAAAAACAAAAACAAAAACAAAAAAACCATAGCAATTAGCTGATAAAAATAAGCTACTTTGTAACCTTCTCTTCTCCCTAAGCAGATATTGGGATCATCTTTATTTTTTAACATTAGCTACTTTAAAAGGGCTGGAGATGTAGTTCTGTAGTAAAGTACTTGTCTAGCATCCATGAGGCCTAAATTTGACTTCAAAACTATAAACGATTAGTTTCCTTTAAACCTCAGTTTAGAGCTTACCTCTCTTGACTTTGAATGCTTCAACCAGAATTGTGAAAATAATTTAAGTTCACGAACCGAGGTACCATTGTATTTATTTTTGAATAGACAACATAATCATATGGTTCAATATTCAAAGCTATCAAAATGAAGAGCAATAGAAACTCTTCTTCCTTCCCTGACCCAGCCAAGGAATTCTCCTCTCTAAAACAGCACTATTCTTTTTTGTGTGTCTCCTTGGATGGCTGTATTACCAATGCATCTGGTGAATCCGCAGTGTGGTGACAGTCTGATCATAAAATTCCCTAACCTGGGGAAACAACCTCTGCCCAGGAAGTAGAGTAAACATGATGGGAAAACTGAGGCCCAGAGAAAGCAAAGGAGTTGCCCAAGCTCATAGAATGTAAGGAAGAAGCAAATTAGTATTATCCTCCGCTCACCAGGAAAATTAGGTACTTTAGTGTTGGGTGCCCTGAAGTTGATTCCATAGTTTTAATTTAGTCTTACGCATATGGAAAAAATGCAGCAGGACATTGAACTTACGATTTCACAAAGGTGAGTACCTAGAAGGAATGATTTTTATGTAAGTCAATTTAATGAAGAGACTAAATTATAGAACAGGCTGAGTGCGATCACAGCAAAATTCAGGGGAGAGTAATTCATGCTAAAGTTTAGAAAGTTCCTCTGAAGCTGGAGAAGGGACATTTTGGAAAGCCTGGAATCTCAGTTTCCTCGCGCAAGGATTTTCTGCCCAGATATTCCTACCTGCTTCTACATTATCATTACCACAACCTCCTCTCTGTCCCTGCCTTGCTCCTCTGACTGTGGGAACCATATCTTTTTATGGGCAATTTCATCTTCAAAGTACTCTGGGCTTATTAATGGGCTTGGGCATCCCTGCCAAGGATGGCAGTTCCCAACCAAAGATCCCAGACATTTCTGATGCAAATGGCATGGAGAAGACCCTGTTGGGCTCATGGCTGGACTTCACCTTGGCAAAGCCCTGGCTCGAGATCTAGGGAGGAAATTCCATCTTTACCACTTCACGGTGTCTTTGGAAACTTCAATTAATTTTTGTAATCTGTCAGATGGGGGTGATGACAGGCTTTGGAAGGATGCAACATCCGAAGTAGCTGATATCAGATGGTTGCTTCCCTTTCTGCTTGAACTTCACTTCCTCTGTGCAACATTTCATCACTCTGTACAATCCCTCCTTTAGGCTCCAGAACATTCTGTATGCTCCTCTTGTAACACTAATCAATTCTCTGCTTTATATGAGAGTGAATTGTGCTCTTGTCACAGTCATAAACTCCTTGAGGACGGGGCTTGTATCTAAAGCATCATTATACCTCTCTCAGCAGGATGCCCAGGGGCTGCCGTGAAGTTCAGTAAACGTTTGTGTGTCAGAGAGGCAGCATGACGTAGTGAACAAAAGCACGACTATAGCGCCTGACTTTGTGGGTTCCATCCCAGTTCTGTCATCTGTTGGCTTTTAGGTAAGTTACTTAACCTTTTCGTGCCCTGAAGACTTGACCTGTAAAGTGGGGGCAATTAATAACAGCATCAATGTCAAGTTGTTGTGAGGATTAAATAAGTCAGTATGCCTAATGTGCTTGGCACACAGCTAGCTGCCCCAGGGTGACAGTTAGAGAGCTGCTGGCTATTATTGTCCCAGAACCTGGCAACGGCTCTTTTTCCAGGTGTAGCCTCCATAAAGCTTGATACTTTCAACTGAAAACATTTTATTGGCCCCTCCATTCTCCCCTCATGCATACATACACTGGGGAGGTTCCTGAAATCCCACCATTCCTAATTCATTCTTTGGAGTGAAAACATTAAATCTTATTAAAATGCAAATATGTTTGATGTGGTAGTTCAGGTATTTGGGAGGCTGAGGTAGGAGCATTATAAATCCAATGACAGCGTGGGCAACTTAGCAAGACGCTGTCCTGAAAATGAAAAGGGCTGAGGTAGAGATTCAATGGTAGATGTTTGCCTAGCACGTGTGAGGATTTAGGTTCAATCTCCAGTACTTTTAAAAAGGAAACATACAAGAATCCCACTATGTGAAAATGAGGATGGTTTGTAGAGTATATTGAAAAAAGCGAAATATGAAACTGGGTATCTGTATGCATCCATTTATAGAGTACACAAAAGCTAGGGAGACTGATTCCTGGAAATACTGATACTGACAGCTGTGCAATCACAAACCATCCACAGAAGGGGACCCTGGAATTGGTCCTTGTAGGGATCTTCAAGAAGGGAATGTTGGTGGCAAGAATAGAGATGGGAGGGGGACATCTTTTCATGGCACAAGCTCTTTCAGAAAATATTTTTTATCATGGTAGAGTATGCATTACACAAACATAACCCTAGCACCATTTTGAAAACCGTTGTGCAGTATTCAATCAAGTGACCTTAAGCTACAAATTTGTGTGACCATCACCAATATTTAAGAACTTTCCCATCACACTCCCCAAAGCTTCCTACTCATTCTAATAACTCTCCATTCCTTCCTCTCTCAGCCCTTGATGAGCTCTAGTCTACTTTCCGTCTCCATATGCCTGATTACTCTTACATATCATATGTAAGTGGCATCATAGTATTTGCTCTTTTTATGACTAGCTTATTTTATGTAGAGTACAGTCTTCAAGGTTTATCCATGGCATTGCACATGTTAGAACGTCATTCCTTGCTATGGCTTAATAATATTCCTTTGTGTGCTATACTACATTTTGTTTCTCCATCTGTTGATGGACACTTGGGTTATCTTCACTTTTTGGCTATTGCAAAGAATGCTATCAATTATGAACAGTGGTAAAAGTACCTGAGTCCCTCCTTTCCATTATTTTGGATATATATACCTAGGAATGAAACTGCTGCGTTATATGGTAATCCTACTTTTCATTATTTGAAGAATTGTCCTACTGTTTCCTATAGTAACTGTGCTACCAACCTCCTTACAGTCCCACCAGCAGTTTCTCCATATCCTTTGGCATAATTTAACTTGTCATAACAAAGCATTACCTATTTAAAGAATAATTAAATATGGCCCTGTGCCATAGATGAGGGTGAGCAAGTGACAGCAGTAAGACAATAATAATAAAACACAAAACAGTGTCCACGTAGGAGTCAGGATAGCTGAATTTGACCCTTGACTTTGATTGGCCACATTGCCACACCCTTTCTGAAACTGGGTTTCCCCGGGGGTCTAATGAAAGGGCTGGGTCAGGTGCTTCTGAGTTCCTTTCCTGTTCCATCAGTCAGGTATCTCCTCCAAATACGTTACAAGACAAATATGGACAATGTCCCCCTCCAGGTGAGTGTCCAGTTTCTGTTTGCATCACCCACCCCCTTGTCCACTGACCACACCGGAGACTGGAGGGTGAGAGGAGAGAGGGTTAAGGCCTTCACTGTCTGGATTCTTTTTGGTACTGCAGCCTCTGTGAAGCATGCCCCTTTCTACCGGGCTATAGAGTTTCCTTCTCTTTGCCATTAGCCTTAGGGTGATGTATGGTTTGCTAAGGCTTCTGTAATAAAGTAACACAGAGTGGCTTCAACAGTAGAAACTGATTTTTCTCATAGTTCTAGAGGCTACCAGGACAAGACCAAAATGTCTTCAGGGATGTGCATCCTGATTGCTATGAAAAACAATCTGTTCCATGCTTTTCCCCAGCTATTAGTGGTTTGCTGGCAAACTGGTATTCTTTGGCATGTAGAAGCATTGCTCTCATCTCTGCCTTCATCTCTGTTTGCGTGTGTGTGTGGCGGGGTGGGGGTTTGTGTGTGTGTGCTTCTGTCCACATTTCTACTTTTTTTAGGGACACTTGATATCTTTTAACTCAATTATCCATGTAAAGACCTTATCTCCAAACATGCTCACATGCTGAGGAACTGAGGATTGGGACTTTAATGTGTGTTTTTATAGGGAGGAGGACCCAACAGCCCATAGCAAGTGGTCATGACTTCTACCATGGCCGCCTTCTCCCTCGTGGGCTTCCCAAGTGGTACCTTTCATTCAGTTTCTTCAATCGCATGAGCATGGCTTCTGTGTTCTGCAGGGACCCATCAGCCTCAGCACCCAGCTCAGTTGGTTTCTGTCTATTCTTTCCAGGAGGAGTGCTGTGCTGAGGGAATAGCTCAATACTAGTTAATAGTACGATTATCATGCACAGTGCCCTGGTTTGATCTCTAGAACCCAAAATACAAAAATCACTGAGCTAGAGAATTTTATGGCTGCCACTTATTCCCTTTTCTCTATATTATACATGGTCTTTGATTCTGCTTGCTCCTGGGGAGCTTAGCGTAGGTACAAGGAAATGGTTTCATATATGTCATGTATGTGTATTGGGGTTGGGGGGGGTCATGGTATATTCACACCCTCTTTAGAGTTCTGTTCCCAGAGCAGATTCCTTTAGGGAGACATAATGGTAAAATGTGTCCACATTAGTGAAGTAAGCAGGAATTCCATCCCCTCAGGAACCCCTGAAGAGGCCATGTGGGGGTATTCAGTACTAAAGGAAAATTGGAAGAAAAATGATATATTTGTAAATATCCAAAGAGCTGACATGGGAAGAGAGACAATGTTAATCTGTGTTTCTACAGATGAATCGATTTGTGACTCAATATAAAAAATACAGTTCTGAGGCCAAGTGTGGTGTGCACACCTGTCATTCCAGCACCCAGGAGGCTGAGGGCAAGAGGATCGTCATGACCTAGAGGCCAGCCTGGGCCTCTACATAGCAAGAACCTATCTCAAAAACAAAAACAAAAAACTCCAACAGCAACAACAGCATAGGGGGAGAGAGAGAAAGAGAGAGAGAGAGAGAGAGAGAGAGAGAGAGAGAGAGAGAGAGAGGAGAGAAGAAGAAGAAGAAGGAGGAGGAGGAGGAGGAGGAGGAGGAGAAGAAGAAGAAGAAGAAGAAGAAGAAGAAGAAGAAGAAGAAGAAGAAGAAGAAGAAGAAGAAGAAGAAGAAGAAGAAGAAGAAGAAGAAATGTCTGAGAACCATGCTTGAATATTATGGCCTTTCTATGTGTCATGAGTCACCTGTCACAGCAAATATTCACACAAGGGCTGAATGGTGATTACTGCCTTAGCCTAGGCTGATGATCTCCTGCTCCTTCCCATTTAGTAATGTCACCTGTGTAGAGGTGGAACTTGGAATGTCCTCTAGCCTTCTGTGTCCCCTGAAGATAGGACATTCAGTTCCACAACAATGTATACTCCTTTCAACTACCTGAGTTAAGACCAAAGTAGAAAAACTCCTTCCTTCCAGAGTAGGTGCCCAAGATATTGGCTTCCCCCAAAATTGGCAGTTACTGAAGCTGAGTCAAGTCTTAGCCAGCGTCTAAAGCTAGCCACACCCAGGGATGGCTCCAGGGGATTGTAAAGAGCACACTCCTTGGAAACTGGACCAATTCCAGGTAGCCACTTTGATCTGAACCTGGGGGTGGGGTGGGCCAGAAGCCAGTTTCACTGCTTCTTGAATGCAAGCTTACCCATCCCAATGTGGCTGCCTCTGATTTCAAAATCATTTGAAGACATTTTTTTTCCCTGTTGTCCTGGTAAAATGGATTTGTCATCATCAGTAGAGCTGTGGCCACACCTTTCCATCAATACCACTTAGTACTGTGGGCACGGCAGGTAGAGATGAAAGGCAGTTTTTCATAGATCCTTACAGAGAGATTACGGACTAAGAAAAAAGATTAAGGAGAATAGATTCATCGATTCAAAAATATCACAATTTATGTAAGTTAGATAGAGATTTCAGTCAACAGCTTATACCAGAAGCCAGGGAATATTAACAATGATTCAAAACATACTTTCTTTGAATGAATTATTTAGTAATTGCTAAGATATTTGCATTCTGGTTGGGAATTTTTTTTTATTGTTGTTGTTCTCTTAAGGAGTTTTTAAACATAACTTATAAAATCTTTGAATAACTGAGTATATGCGTGACATTGTCTTATTGTCATTTATAACCAAAATAACTCCAGGTCCTCAAAAATGTACAAATAGTATGCTCTTCCATGGCTTCCTTTTGCTTCAGGAGTCTCTGGCTCACCTACAGTGCACAGAATCCTAAGCATGATCTTACAGGTGTCATGTTGCTTACTAGGAAGAAGGTAAATGGTGCAAAATGGGAATAAGAAAGACTCACCACTCCTCAATCCTTAATAGTGCAAGCCCACATACTCTACTTTGTAGGTTCAATAAGAAAAAATTATATTGGCCTGTCCAATAGGCTGGGATAGATACATAAGGTGACATGAGAGAGAAAGTGCAGGATGGTCCTCTCTGAAGACAGGAGGCCTGACCTGAGGTCTGATGGACACATGGCAGCCATGCAGAAGATCTGGTGACAGAAGAGTCCAGGTGGAGAGAAATGTAAGGTGGTGTAGCACGTCCTGCTAAATGAGCTATTCGAGATGCAAATAGTGACTTTTTTTGAATAGATGAGCATTCTTTTACAAAATATCTAAAAAGCACACCCACCATCTGTCAGGAAACGTGGAAGGTGTGTGGATGATGTTAGGCTGGGATATGTTTTGCAGCGGGAGTTCCATCACATAAGAGCTCTGTTATGTAACACATATAAAACAGCCACATTTGGAAATATTTTGGGCTAAGCATTGCAGATAGAGGGAACTGTAAGTGCAAAAGGCCCAGAGAAAAGATTGAGCTTAATGTGTTGGAATGATTCAAACACACCAGTGCTCCATAGAACAAATTTGGAGTTAGAATTTTTTTTAACTCAGTGAGTAATGGAAAGTCATTGAAAATTTTTACATATAGGAAACACATGAACTTATTTAGTGATTAAAATTTTTTAAAAATCAATTTTGAAACAATTTATAGACAATAAAATACACTTATTTTAAATGTATAATTTGAGGAGTTTTGACAAATATGCACATTTATGTAACTACTATCATAATCAAAATATACAACATTCTCACCATCCAAAGTTCCCTCCTACCCCTTTTTACAGTTGATCTTCCTATTTCCTTCCCAATTCCCAGGTCTAGGTGAGAGCTCTCACAGACACTTGCTTTCCTAGTATTATCATTTTATATAGACACCGTACATTGAAACTAAGCAAATAATGTTGGAGCTGGGTCATTCAATGATGGTAGGCACCTCTAATTCCAGTTATTAGGGAAGGTGAGGTAGAAGGCCTTAAAGTTCAAGGCTTGTTTGGGCAACTTAGCAAGATCCTGTCTCAGAATAAAGTAAAAAAGAATGGGGAGGGGGCTGGGGATTTAGCTCAGTGGCATAAGCACCTGCCTTGCAAGCAGGCAGTTGTGAGTTCGATCCCTGGTACCAATAAAAAAGAAAAAGACAAAAAAAAAAAAAACAATGGGGAATGTGTCTCAGTGATGCATTGCACAAGACCCTGGGTTTAATCCCCAGTGCCAGAGTTGGGGAAAATTAAGTAATGTCAGTACAGCGTTATTAAGCAAACTATAAGCTCTAGATGGATTTCACCAATTTCCTCACTAATGTACTTATTCTGTTTCAGGATCCCACCACAGATTGCCCAGGAATTATATCTGATAGCTACTTTTCTTAGGCTCTGCCAATCAATAAGAATTTCTCTATCTTTTCCTGGTTTCCCTGTTTCCAGTTTGATAAGTACTGGCCAGATGTTTCATAGAATGTCCCTCAGTTTGGGTTTATCTGATATTTTCTCACCATTAGATAGGAACTGAAAGCCATTCTTACCATGTTATCATGATGTCAATCTACCCTACGAATGCGGACACTACCCTTGATCACTTAAATGGTGACTACCAGATTTCTTCTCTAAAAAAGTTAATATTTTTCAACCTCTATATTCTTTGAAATCATATCATGAAGTACAGCCCCACAACAAAAAGCAGGCAAGTCAAATTTCACTTCCTGGAGGTAAGAGTATCTACATAGATTCTTTGGCATTTCTTTTAAGATAGAAAAATGGAGAACATGGTGGATAGATAGCAGCAGCTATGGAGGCTCTCTGAGATACCCCGCTTAGAATCCAGTAATGTTGTGGTACGAGGAGTCCTAAGCAAGGGGAGATATATATACCCTGCCGACCCAGGAACAAACTAAGTTAAGAGAAACCAACTGGAAATGCAATCCTGGTGCTATAACAGGAACAGATAAAATCTCAGTGTGGAAGCTGGAACCTGCGCCACTGGAAGCCGTGATTTGAATTTCCTGCTGCTGCTGCTGTGTCCAAATCCATACGGCACAAAGAGAGACACACAAAAGCTCTGAGACCAGGAATCGGCGAACAGCGTTGAGAGCAGGAGTGGCAGGGAGCCCTGCATCAACCTGCGGTGAGTGAGCGGAACGGGGACCCTTCCATAGAGTAGGAGGCTCGAGCAAAGGACATACTGGGACTGGACAGACTAGCCGGAACAGGACACTGCAGTAACTTTAGTCACATATTCCCCTCTCAAGTGGGATTGGTGGGAAGTGCCTGGCCTGGGTGACGCTGCTAAGACCCAGTAGGCTAGCCCAAACCAGGTCCCAGCGCCTGGCAGTGCACCCTAGCAGTGAAGCCTTCAGTAGATTGACCTGGAGGGATGGGCCCAGCAGAGGCTGCCCAGGTCTGTGTCTCCCTAGTGCACTGCAGTGGGCGAGAAAACCTAGCTGGCTGCAATTCAAACAAACTGTAACAGACAAAGAGACAAAAACTGGGTCTCCTATATTCACTTGTATGGAAGGAACAAAAAAGTATGGGAAGAGGAAGCAACAAGAAAGGGTCCTCAGTCCCCAATCCTGAGAACACTGACCCAGGAAAGGGAAATGCAAAGGAGGACAGAAAACATGCAGTATCAGACATGGCACAATAGACATAAAGCGATATCTCCAGCGCCTCATAGATGAGTTTAAAAGTGAAGTATTTAACGAAATAAAGCAAGATATAAGTAGCAGACTTAGAGAAATGCTAAGAACCACCCAAGAAAAAACAGATGGTGGAATGGAAGAACAGAAAAAAAGGGGAGAATTGTTTGATGGAGAAAATAGAGAAAACATAGAATACGTGAAGCAGGTTCAAAGAGATTACCAGGAAACTAAAAACTCTATCAAAAGCTGGCATAACAGCTTGAAAGAAACTAAGGATAGATTATCTGAACTGGAGGGTAGATTTGTAATGTGGGAGCATGAAATGAAAAACTTCTTAAAAATAACAAGAAAACAAACAGCAATAATACAAAGGCTAGAAGATGATAAGAGGATCTATAACTTAAGAATTAAGAACATAAAAGAAGAAGTAGGGACACAAACAAATGAACTACAAAAGCTACTCACAGAAATAATCCAGGAGAATTTTCCTAATTTAGCAAAAGGTAAAGATACTCAGATGTATGAGGCAAACAGGACCCCAGCCACCTACAACCCAAACAGAGCTACACCCAGGCATATAATAATCAAAATTCCAGAAATCCAATATAAGAACAGAATATTAAAAATCATCAGAGACAAGAAACAGATCACTTACAAGGAAACACCCATCAGAATTACAGCAGACTTCTCTGCACAAACCATCAAATCACGAAGAGCGTGGGGGGAAATAATTCAAGCTTTGAAAGATAATAACCTCCAGTCAAGATTGATATATCGTGCACAACTGTCCCTAGAAGTTGATGGAAAAACAAGTTGCTTCCAGGATAAAAAGGAACTAGGAGAATTTGCAACCACCAATTCAACTCTATAGAGAATACTGCAGGATATTCTACAAAAGGAAAATACCAAGATTCCAGAAACAGTGGCAGAGAGGCCACAATGAATGGAGCAGAAAGCAAAATGAAGAAGACAAACTGACAACAAACAACAGAAAAAGAGCTCAACAGAAATGAGGCAGGGAAGATTGGATGGTAGGAACAGCTATTTGGAGAAAACAAGACATCATAATAGCTAGTGCTGATTCAATATCATCTTGTTTTGAAGTCCCATCAAGCTTTTATTCTTCTGTCTCCATCGGTCTTAACAGGTTGTATCTTATTGGATTTTATTATATGTGATAATATAAGCAAAGACTTTTATAGCCAAGGAGATTATACAGAAACCATTGTTCATTTTCTGATAGTTGGTTCTAAATATCCTGTAATACTGTCATTCTCTTGAATGGTTTTACGTTGTCTCGATATATTTGGTGCTGCAGTATACGAAGTTATACTCAAAGATTTCAAGGAAAAAGACACTATGGTAACTACTTTTATGTCAGGATATCTTGTGGTGAAACACTATTTTGCTTAAATTGTTATGCTTTGACCTACACTGTTTTGTTGTTATGTCCTCTTTTATCTCAATCTCCTTTTTTTAAAATTACTTTTTTATTTTTACCTTTTTAATTAAGGGAAAAATAAATAAAAAATAGCAGGATATATTATAGTAACCCACTTTGATTTCCTGTTAACTTGATTTGAAACCCTGTATTGCCCTCACCATCTTGTTTTAACTGATTTCCCTCTAATCTGCTTTGCTTGATAGTACCAAGTTCGAAAGTAAAGGCAATAATTGTGAAGACAATAAGATTCATTATGACGCCCATTCTGGTTGACTATTATATTCTTTTAAAATCCTGTACTGTCTCCAATGTTTTGGTTTTATTCTTTACTGTTTTGTTCAATTTTATTATAACTGATGATATAGGCAATTCTTTTTAAGATAGCAAGAGGCAGTATGGTAACCATTGTTGATCACTTAGTATTTTGTTTTTACATTATATGTTATGTCCATCCTTTTGATTTGACTGACTCTGTTCTGATATGTCGCATTTGGTTTTACTCTCTTCAAAAAAAAGTAATAAGAACTGTGGGAATAATAAAACCAAAAATGTGTAATTGTCATTGTATAAAAGAAAGGAAAAGAAAGTGCTCTAAAGGATAGAACTGCATATATATTTAAGTGTATAAGATAGATAACCATATTACTGAGTTTTGTTGGATCATTGAACAAAACTGTTTGCAGTCTCATTGTTTGAAAATCCACTTTATATGCTTTAATTTTGTAACTTAAACAACTATTTCTAAGATAACAATATGTAATCTATTAACTAGTGATTTCCTACTGTTTATTTTTTCTGAAATTCTGTATAACTTGTACCCTTTTTGTGTTTTTTTCTTTTTCTCCTTAAATAAAATTTTTTTAAAAGATAGAAAAATGAGGTATATTTGTATGCTGATGGAAGTGAAAAAATTCTGTACTTCTTGTTTCATCCTCTACCCTTCATTTCTAGATCTCCTTCCTATTTGTAAAAGGCTACTTCCTGTTTCCTATCATTTATCTTTTATTTTGCTCTTTAAATTATTTATACTTTGGGCTTTTCATATATGAAAAACTATGTGATATTTAATCTTCTGTGTCTCATTTACTTCACTAAGCTTTATGGGTTCCAGGTGCATAATTTTCCTCTAAATGGCTCAAATTTATTCTTATTCATGGCCGAGTAGTACTCCATTGTGTACATATACACCACATTTAAAATTTTTTTTATTTTAAAGAGAAAAAAATCAAGGAAAATAAAACAATAAAATCAATCAAAATAAATCAGAATAAGTAATAGAGAACTTCTAAATATTTTCAAATAATAATTATCACACTGCCTTTGGTGTCTTCAAAATAGCTGCAGATACAACCTTTGTACATATTAAAAATCAAACAGAATAGGATAGAATAGAAACAATAAAAATAAGACAATGAATGCAATAAAGGACATCAAAACAAGCTGGTAGTGAATACACAATGGCTTCCATAACATGTCTTGCTGTCTTTCAAACAGCTGCACATGCCATCAGAGTTTATGTTTATGTTAGTAAAACAAAGAGAATAAACCCAAACCCAGAAGAAAAAACAATGCAAATGGTATGGTTTGGGGCAGGGTGAGGATCTCCTCCCTGTATATAGTGGTTCTCTCCCTCCGCAGTCTGCAAATGGCGCCAACTCACAGAGAAAGGCTTAGGTCTCCAAACCACATTTTCTTTATCCATTCACATGTTCAAGAAATAAATCTTTGTCAAAAAGGCTTAGAACTCCAAATTACACTGTCTCTTCAATAAAAAAATAAGATTTTAGACAAAAGAGAAGATGAAGGAAAAAGATCTTGAGTCTTTAGGGTCAATAAGTTGTGAAAGACAAATATTTGGAAAAGCAATGTTAGATTGAGGTTGATTAGTAAAGTTTGTTGTGCAGATTCCTCTGGTATCATCTCAGACTAATGAAGATCTAATAAAGGTCTTCATTCATCTGCTGACAACCTTGGTCTGTCTTGGTAGGAAAGGAAGGAAGGACCCTTTTGTATGTGTATATCCTGCTCTAGGCAATGGGAACAAGCAGAAAGCTTTCTTTATATCTGTGTTTTCTTAGTTGCCTTCAGTTGAAAAACAATCCTGATGCCAAAGTAGCATGTTTGGGGTGAAATATTCTGCAATCCTCCCGAAGGGTAAGGGCTTAAGGGACTATGGTATTTACAGCGGTGTAGGCAGGGCTGAGCAAACCCCAGGGGTGATGAGGAGGCATGCAGAGACTAGCACCAGGGGTCTCCATTGCCACCCTATGCCTGAAGGAATGGGAGGAGGAGGCGGCATCACTGTTGCTCAGTCAGAGCTGTAGCGGAGGTGGAGGCACTCCTGAAGGGAGCTCTGGCCATAGACAAAACATGGCCAAGACCAAAATGACAGCAGGCAGCAAAAGAGGAACCAGTACTCTGACCTTTCTCCTCTCCTGTGCTCTGACCCAGCAGCACAAGGGAGGTTGGGTGCTGAAGTACACATGGTCAGGCTTCTGGGGCACAGACCAGATTGGAGGAAGGACAAAATGGATCTGGAGAAGCAAATGGAGAATAAAAAACCAGCAAGTCAAATTCAAAAACTCAGTAGTGGGAAAGCTTTAGAAACGACTTCTTTACCTTATGTGACATATTTGAGATTCATATTTGAGAGTAGTGTAATTCCATTTTAATATATTTCTCATTTAGTCTAATTTCAGCACCTCTTATTAAGATTATTTGCAGACTTAAGCTACAAGCACCTTAACACAGTGGACCCTGGCCTCATCTGGGCCTTAGACGAGGGCCACAGGATAGGACCCTAGACACCGGGACATGTGTCCCTGGAAGGTATCAGAGAATCTCCCATGACAAGAGGCCACTGTAAGCCTGGACAAAGACAAGGATAGCAGCTACCATAAGGGACTGGAGGTCAGAGACCCTTTCCCTTTTCTACCTCCATTAGGTCTTCATGGTTCTGAAGGACCTCTGAGATGCAAGTACCTTGACACTGACTTCGATGCATGCCTTGCCAGTTCCATGCAAGGTGAGGGAGGAGCAATTTGGGGTTGAAATCAGTTTCTCCACCTGTAGAGTGGGACATTACATGTCTCATGGAGTTGAGGATTAAGTGAGATAATAATACAAGATTTAGCAGTCTGCACCTAGTAAGTGCTCAACAAATATCTGCTATTATTACTCTTGGTATTGAAGCTTTTCCCTATCTACTGATCAGAGGTGGCTGATTGTTTTTTTCACTTGTTACATACTGGTGAGTCTGAACACATAATGCTTCATGTCCTCATCTGTGACATGTGTGAAATGAGCTAAGAGATGTGACCAAGTGAACAGCTCACCCATAACCCACAGGAGGACCATTATAGAGCTCCCTGGAGTTCTAGAAAGGGAGGCAGCAATGGAAGATGGGGGCTGGGATGTCCTGCAGGGAAACCAGGACAACAGGCCCTCACAGTGACTTGCTCTGCTCCAGCGGTCCCTGTCCCTCTGTGGACTGGGATGGAGTCCTGATGGCCACTTCCCTTCAAGAGTATGGGCAACTTTAAGGCTGGGGTCTTTCAGGGGTAGGTTTTGGGTAGCAGAACTAGGGAGACGCTGTGGCCCCTGATGCCTGAATGCATCTACAGAGAGCCTCCCTCTTACAAGCTTGCTATAAAAAACAACAAACATCACAGTGCATAAAGGAAAAGACAGAAGTTCTTTTTCAGCTGGCCTTCCTCAGAAGCAAGCCCTACAATTTGGAGTCCTCCTTAAGCCCAGTCCAATCCTGAGAAGTAAGCCTTGCCACTGCTGGGGGCTTTGTCCTGCTGGCTGTCCCAGTCCTGCTCCCTGCAGGCCTTTTATGGAGTCCTTGGGCGCCTGGTTCTCTATTTTCTAGACCTGCACACCCTCTAGTGGGGCTGACTTGTAAACTCAAGGTGAAGATGAGGGAAAGAAGTGGGACGTAGCAGGTGGGACCTAGGGCCCCCTCCCTTCTCCGAAGTTGGGATCTAAAATTTTGGTCCTGAGTCAGCCCCGTAGAATTTGACTAGCTGGGGCTGCTTTTTCATTCCCAGGGCTGAGAGGAAAGTGGGTACAATGCCACCTGCTACAGAAGAAAAAGATACTGAATCTACTACCACTGCCACCCTCACCAGTCAAGGCAGCTCTTTCACCTAGAGGTGGAATACTACTACTAACCAGTTATTAACTGTTTATTGGAGACCTTACTTAGTGCCAGGCATTGCTTTAAGCACTTTAATTAGTTCATCTAATTCTCAAAACAATACTCCTCAGAATATTAACTTTCTCTTTTGCCACAACCTATGCGGCTCCTGAGGTTCTTAGGGTTAAGGATCACAAGAAGATGAGAAAAATAGAAAAGACAAAGCTGGGGGTCAGGTGGAGCCCTTACTCTCTTGATGCGAGGAAAGGTGCTGCTCAACCAATACAGCATGCTTATTAATATATTGGGAAAGACGATGTCAATTTCAGCCCCTCTGCCTAGCAACCCATTGCCTGGGTGGTCTAGGAGCTTGGTGTTTTTCTGGGCTGTGGCAACTTCTCCACCTGGGTGCTCTTTGTTTTTTGGTGGGGTCAAGTCTAGTTCATGCCTAGGTCAATTTCCAGCTTCTGCTGCTCCCAGCCCCCCCCCCTACCTTTCTTCTTCCCTTCCTGCCTTTTTTGTGATACGAGGGATTGAAATCAGGGCCTTCACACTAAACTACATCCCCAGCCTCTTTTTTAAAATTTTGAGTCAGGATTTCACTGTGTTGCTAGACTGAACTCAAACTGACCTTGGCCTCCTGCCTCAGTCTCCCAGAGTGCTGAAATTATAGGCATAGCTAGTATTTATGTTCTCTAGATGAGGCCACCGGACCTCATTCAGAAGTTCACTGCAGTATGCAGTCCTGTGCAGCGGTTAGAAGCTCCAGCGCCAGAGCCTGAATGCCTAGCTTTGCCCTCCTGCTTCTACTACTTACCAGTTCTGTGATTTTGGCCTCACATAACAGGACCTCTATGACTCAGTTTTGTTTCTAGTAAAATAGGCCTGATGACAGTGTCATTCTCTGAGAGTGGTTATGAGGATTAGTGAGTTAAGATGTTCTAAGTGCCTGTGTGTTTGGATTAAATACTGGGCCCATGTCTCAGCTGAGAGGAGCAATAGCAAACCAGGTCTGCACACTACTGAGGATCAGCAGTTCACCACCATGTAGTGCTGCCTCTCTGCAGCCCACTAGCTCCCAACTCCTCTTCCCCAAAGGTCCTAAGTCCTCCGGAGCCCCAGCTGTCACTGATATGAGGATGACAAATGCCTCCACTGATGAGCCAGTGATTTCTAGTGAGTCGTCGGAGGGAGAGAAGACTCAGGAACTGCTGGTGGACTGGCCTTTATCTTTGGAGGAAAGCTCTCAGCTCCTCGCCTGGCTTGGTGTTTGTTTGGTAGGGAGGATGGGATGCACCCTACTGGGGGGAACCTTGCCAATAATTTTTAGTATTATGCCCCAAAGCTCAAATACTCTCAATGTGGCAACTAATGCAATTGCTACAGAGTTGACAAGAGCACAGAGGAGGTGCAGACCTCCTAAGTGTGGTAACGGCAGCGACAGACATCGTAAGACATAAGACACCTGGAATGGTGAAGTCCAGTCCAAGTCTTCACAGATGGAAGGGAGTTACAGAGTGAAGGGAAGGACTTTCTAGACAGAAGGCATGAAGTGTAGGGAGAGCTAGAAACACCATCTGAGAAGAGAGCAGGTTTGAATTAAAAGAAAGGCAGACACTGTGGAGGTGATCAAAATGTAGAGATCTTTGTGTAATCTGTTAAAGACTGAACTTTCTTTGGTTCAAAATAGACAGCAAATAAAGACTTAGGTAGAGAGCAGGTGATGGTAAAACTTTTCCACCTATAAAATGGGATAATAATAGTACTTACCTTATAGAGTTGTTCTAGGATTGGGTGAAATGATCCACATTAAGTCCTTAAATGGTGCCTAGAAAATGTTCAATAAATGTTCATGCTGCTGCTGCTGACAATAATGTCCTGTTAGGAAGAGAACTGCAAAGTGGCAGACCACCAAGGCAGCATATAGTGTAGGTGAATATTGGTCAGATGGACGGAGGCCAAGAGTAGCCTTATGCACAAATCCTGTGAGTCACAGACCTGTGTACCTGCTAAGGAGTAAAACCCAAGCTCATTGGTGTGGCTCACAAGCACTAGGTAATCCGGCCCTAGCTGACTTTTCTATTTCTCACATTGGGCTCCAGGCATGTTTTCGTCTACTCTTCAAATATGTTCACCCTAGACCTTTACCCTTGCTTACCCTCTATCTGGAATGTCTTTTTGACACATCGTCTAAGGGCTGCACTTCCGTGTCACAGAATTCTAATTTTAAATGTCACTTCCTCTGAGAGGCCTTTCCTGAACCCTAGCACATTGACTGTATGACCAGATAAGATGACCTTATTTTCTTTCATGTTTTATTGTCCCCTAGAGACAGGGGTCTTTCTTGTTTACCATTGTATCCTAGGTCCTGGAACACTGGAGAACCTTAATAAATGTTTGCCAGAAAAATGAAGGGCCCAAAATGATCTCTATTAGCGATTCATTCCTTCTATGCTGTTCCTGGGAGAGATGGCCTATCAAGCTGTGATCAGCAATTAGCATTAGTGCAGTGGATTCAGTGAAATGAGCACTTCATGCCAGGACAGCCTGTGAACTGAAGAGAAAGGACTTTGTGAAACAAAGGAAGTTATGATGGCCAACGGCAGAAAGACAATGTTTATAACATTGCCCAAGGCAATGTTTATTACAGAGCTGCTGCAGGACTGTGGGGTTCTAGACAGGGATGGAACAGAAAGTGGCTGGGAGACTTCGGAGTCATGGTCTATCAGAGGGATTCTGGGGGTCACTAGATCAGGTCTGGTCTTCCATCAGGGCCTTAAATTTAGTTTTTTTTTTTTTCTCACATTTTCTTCAAAAGAGGTTTCATGTAGTAACATATACACTAAGGTGTTTGAGCAGAGACACATATTTGTATAAAAATGGTCTTTGGTCATTGTGACTAAATGAAAATATTTTGAATACTTTAGAACTCATCTTTAAAGACATAGGTGCAGCATCTACCAGTTGTTATCTTCCTCTTTCTGGCAATCCTCTCTTCAGCCCCTTCCCAGACACTGTACTCTTCTGGCTCTATTTTCTCACTGTCACTGCTCCTTCTCAGTTTTCTCTGGTGCTTGCTTTATCACTCACCTCTAAATGACTGTTTCCAGAAAGTAGGTGAGTGAGCCAGTGAGCCATCCGGGCTTTGTAGCTCAATGTTCTCTGCTGGAATACTCTCCCTCCAGGCTGGCTGCCTCATTTCTTTCAAGTCCTCATCTGCATGCCATTTTCTCGGTGATGTCTTTTCCCTGACACTTTATTTAAAATTCTGTTCCCTCCAATCCTCTTCCTTATCTTAATTTTCTGTAGAAAGTGCTTTCTATCAAGGCTATGCACTTCTTGTTTAGTGCTTATTTCCTCTGGCTAGTACATTGGTTCCAGGAGAACACGTAGGCTTGTTTTTTATTTACTATTTATGGTTTGGAAAAGTGCCTGACACACTATGTGCCCTCAAAAAAAAAAAAAAAAAAAAAAAAACTTACTGAGTGATCACAATTTTTGGATTGTGCAAGTGTGCATTTAAAATGCACAGATAAGCCTACAAGTCTCCAGTTCCTGTTTGTTTATGGTTTAAAACAACAGGAAAGTATTCTCACAGTTCTGTAACCCAGAAGTCTGATTTGATAGCGTTATGCTATCTCTGAAGGTTCTAGGGAAGAATTCTTCCTTGCATCTTTCAAGTTCTGGTGCCCTCAGGCATTGATTTCTGATAGCATAATTCCAATCTCTGACGATGACCTTCTCTTTTTCTCTCTCTCTTTTAAGGTCATTTGTCATTGGATTTAGGGCCCACTCTAATCTATTATTTTACTTTACACTTTTTACCTAATTACATATATAAAACCCATTTTTTTTTTTTTTTCCAAATAAGGTTGCATTCACTGCCTCGGTCTATTTAACCTGAGAAGTTGAAGCACTCCTCCCGCTCCGCCCCCGTCTGAGCGGACTGATCCACTGTACTTGGTGAAGGTAACTGTTGTAGATTGCCTCATTATAACAGTAAAGCAAGGGACACAAAATACACTAAAAAATATTTCTTTAATTAATAACCTTCTGGAGGATGTTACGAGTGTGTGGAGTTTACAGAGGTGCAGCTTGATCGCTATGCTAGAAGAGAAAATGTAAGGGTGCACTGGCTCAGGCTTGGCCATCGTAGACACCCAAGTGGAGCTGAAACTCGGCAGGAAAGTTGCTGCACTGAAAAGCCGATTTTAACCACAACCAGGCGCCGCAGTACCATGTACAGCCACCAGGGAAAAATGGGCGCCGAGAATTGCGCAGCCGCAGAAGGAGCCGGGCGGGTCTGCGCAGCCGCAGAATGAGCCGCCCGCTCCGGCTTACTCCGTCCAGCTCTGTTTCTGCAGCGGGGGCCAAGCTGGCCTTGTCCTTGTGCGCTTAACCCTGGCGAGTGGGGTCGGCTCCGCCCCCCCCCCCCCCGCGCCGGGTGTCAGTCCTTCCCTGAGCCGCTGCCGTCATGCTGCTGCCCGTGTTCACCCTGAAACTGCGCCACAAAATCAGCCCTCGTATGGTGGCCATAGGGCGCTACGACGGGACCCACCCGTGCCTGGCGGCCGCCACCCAAGCGGGCAAGGTAACCGCTCCCACGCGCACGCTCCCCGGACCCCGGGGACTCAAGACCTCCCAGGACTGCAGCCTTGCGGTCCCGCCCCTCACCCTGACCCCGCCTCCGGGTTGCCTGGCAACCAATAGAGAATTTTTGTACCTCTTCATCCTCCCTCAGTTTTTCTGAGCACTTTGGCTTCTTTCTTTCTTTTCCCTTCCTTCCTTCCTTCTTTCCTTTCCACTTACATTGTAAAAATCAGTACACGTTTGTAGTATATTAGTTGGATTTCATACCGTTAGGCACTTTAGGATATTGTTGAAGTCCAGGACAGATAAGGCGTTTAGGGCGGAAAGTCTTCCTAAAGGAAAATGCAGCTTGGCTGGGATTAGCAGTAAGAGCCGACCTCAGATTCCAGCCCTTTGCACCTGCGTGTGGCTGGAGGCTCCTTCCACTTACTGGTACCTTTTACAGAGAAAAGACTGCAGACACTCCTAAATTAAGTTTGTGTGTGTGTGTGTGTGTGTGTGTGTGTAGCACAGAATGGGACTCAGGGCCTCCCACACGGTAGGCAAGCACTGTTATGACAGTGTATCTCCAGGCCTCAAATGGCACTTTTGGTCCTTGCTCATGTACAATCAAGTTTTCCCCCATAATTTATTTGCTAAGTGCTTACTATGTGTCAGGAATTTTCTGTACTGTAAGGATCACAGAGATTTTTAAAAGATATCTTTATTCCACACTTACTGCCCTATACAGTGACAGAATATGCCCAAAATACAAGGAATACAGTGACTCCAAGGGTAACAACATTTAACAGATAGAAAGGCTTATTACATTAATTATCTCAGCATCCTTGCTTCAAGAGCAGTAGCATAGCATAGGTGTGGGTAATCCTGGCTCCACTGCCTACTAATTTCAGGACCTTTGGCAAGATACTTAACAGTATTACCTACCTTAGGGTTGTTAGGCTTGGATGATACATGTAAAGCCCTTGGCATATTGAAAGTGGCCACTAGTTGTTAGGTATTATTTTCCTTTTGTGATTCCCACTTTACTGATAGAAATAATAAAGTAGTGTCTGGTGACACTAAACTGGAGAATGGTTGAAATGAAATTACAATGCATGTTCTCCAACCTAGGGTACATTTCATAGCTAGTGTTTGTGTCATGGTGTATAGTTTTAGGACCGTATTACTTCATATGATATGCCTTGGGACACACATTTTCATTAAGTATAGTATAATACTGTAAAGCACTTATTTAGTATAGAGTCTAGTACATGATAATGTTAGTTGGGAGCCCTGACAGATGCCAAAAACAAATTCATACTGGCTCTGCTGTAGGTGCACAACAGGTATAGAATGGGTAAGCAGCAATTAGATCTTATTCATAACCTGCTTCTTTGTCCCTGGGTTCCACACTGCAAAGTGCCATGTTTGTGTTTTAAGCTTCGTAAGCTTTGTATGTAACTTCTTGATGCTGACATGTTTTTAACCTGTTTTTGTTAAAAAAAAAAGTACGATGTTAATTTGTCTTTTTTGATATTTTAAGGGAATGCAATTACCTGTTTTTGTTTTAGGTTTTTATTCACAATCCTCATACACGGGGCCAGTATTTCAGAGCGTCCAGAGTCTCCCAGAGCCCGCTGGAATCTGATGTTTCTCTTCTGAACATTAACCAGGTGGTCAGCTGCCTAACCGCCGGAGTACTAAACCCCGAACTTGGCCGTGATGTTCTTTTAGTAGGCACCCAGACTAACCTTTTGGCCTATGATGTCTACAATAATTCAGATTTGTTCTACAGAGAGGCAAGTATACCTCCATGACAACCATAAAATTTTCATTACTTGTTAATGTCCAGTTTTTTAATCCTTGAAAAAGGTCACATATTTATTTTGCTTTATTATGTGGCCATTATAGTATAATTTAATGACATGGAGTGTTTGCCGTTTATATCTGCTGTATGTAGTTGGGACTATTATATTTGGTCATGGCTGGTAGTCACTTGGTATCACTGCAGTTCATCTATAAGGGATGATTGAAAATCATGGTGACTGTTTAAATTTTGAAAAATGTATTATAGGGAAAGCCACACTGTCATTTATCCTGCTGTAAGTATTCCCCCTCACTTTGAACACACCTGTCCCGTCTTCTTGCTACTTTCTAAATAGTTCTGGAAGTCCTCCTTTGTGAACGTCTGTAGGAGGTGTGATTTAAAAATACTTGAATACTGCTTCTGGGTGCTCTCCAGTGGAAAGGGAGGCTCCTGAAAACCCTGTAGTGTGTCCTCATCCACCTTGTTCCTTGAATCTGGCACCATGTGACTTCCTCGCTTTCCTGAAGTCAAAATGACCATGAAAGGTAAATGTTTTGAATTGATTCAGGACATACATGATAGGGACAACTAAAGACATTTATGAAAAGGATTTCCAGAGCTACTCCTGAAAGTGGCAAGGAGGATGAGACAAGTGTTTGAATGGATGAGCGTGTTCTGAAGGGGATTAATAGCAGTGTGTCGTTTGCTGTAACACATTTTAAAAATTCAAACACACACTTTGATCACACCTCTGTCAGGATCTCCTGTTGAAAATTCAGGTAGGGACTGGGAAGCTGGCTCACAGTTCTTCTGGTGGCCTTGCATTTAAGTACTTTGAAGAAGAAGCCCTTACTGTAGCCTGCCATCTACAGGCTACTGCAGTTTTATTAACCAAGTAATTTGTATTTGTTATACAAAAGGATAGGGAAACGAACAGGAAAAAAACACAATAGTAATTAATTCTTAATGATACTTCTTAAATTAATTCTTGAATTTACTTTTCCAGATTTTTTTGCTAAGTATATGCAAATAATTTTTTTAACAAAATGGGATCATACTATGTACCTATAGCCTTTTAGCTTATTTTTCCTGCGATAATTTTTTTTTTTTTGTCTTTTTCCTTTTTATCAGTACCGGGGATCGAACTCACGACTGCCTGCTTGCAAGGCAGGCGCTTATGCCGCTGAGCTAAACCTCCAGCCCCATCCTGCGATAATTTTTAAAAAAATATTCACATACCATACAATCATCTATTTTTAATGTACAATTAATTTGTCTTTAGTTTATTCAGAAAGTTTTGTAATCTAAGTGTGGTGGCACATGCCTGTAGTCCCAGCCCTTGGGAGGCTGAGGCAGGAGGATTGCCACAAATTCAAGGCCAGCCTGGGCTGCATAGTGGGCTCAAGGCCAGTTTGGATTATTTAGTGACACCCTGTCTGAAAAGAAAAAAACCCCAAATCAGAAAGTTTTGTAACCACCACCACAATCAATTTTAAACATTTTTATTACCTCTGAAGACAAAAAAACAACACAATAGTAGGTAGTCTGCTTTTTCTGTTAGCCTTCTGAGGAAATCTGTTTTCTATTTTCTGCCTATTCTAGGCATTTCCTAAATACAGAATCATATACTGTGTGGTCTTTTGCGATTGGCTTCTTTTTTGGTGGTGCGGTTTAAGAGACAGGGTTTCACTATATAATCCAGGCTAGCTTTGAACTCACTGTGTAGCTCAGTCTGCCCTTGAACTCACAGTGATCTTCCTGCTTTGGCTTTCCAAGTGCTAAGATTACAAGGGTACGTGACCGGTCTCTATCCAGCTTCTTATTCTTAGCATAAAAATTTCCATTTTGATCTATGTTGTAGCATATATCAATATTTCATTTCTTTTTATAGTTTTTATAGTTACATTGTGTGTATGTGTATCACAGTGTTTTTCTGATCCTTCTAAGAAATCCTTGCCTATTTCAAGGTCACAGAATCCTTCTACATTCATTGAGGACTGAAATTAAGTTTAGGAGTGGATTCATAAGGTTCTCCAGAGACACAGAACCAATACAATGTGTGTATGTTTGGTGGGAGCAGGTGCTTGGGGAATTGCTGTACATGATTGCGGTGGGTGGCAAGTCCAACACCTGTGGGGTGGAGACCTGGGGGACTGATGTTGAATCTGAAGTCTGAAGGCAGTCAGCTGGCAGAATCCCTCTTTCCTTGTGGGAGGTCAGTAGTCTTTCTTCCTATGAAGTCCTGAACCTGAATATTGAGGTTCACTCACACTATAGAAGATAATGTGTTTTACTTTGTACTGATTTAAATGTAATCTTCTCTAGAAAATATCCTCACAGTAACAACGAGAATAATGTTTGACCAAATATCTGGGTAGTAGGGTCTAGCCAGGTTGATACATAAAATTAATATTACAAGGCCTTGGCTTTATAATTGCTGAGTCAGAGCAAAGTCAGAGCAAAGGAAGACAGAAATAGAAAAAGAAATGGAAAAGAAGAAATACTGAGTGAAATTGCTGAGTGAAAATTATTTTTAGATGAGACTTCTCGCAGATATTGCTAAATTAATCTCTAGAAAGACTGCTGGTTTTCTACCTCTTCCTTGCACTGAGAGCACCTGTTTTATAACACCCTAATCAACAGTGGATATTGTTCTTTTTCATCACTGCTTATTGGAAAGTGAAAAATCATATGTGGTGAGAATGAACATTTTTCGTGATTTTGGACTACATTTCTTATCAATTTCTTTTTTAGAGAGCTGGAGTATTCTTTTCCTATTTATTTGCCTTTTAATAACAAAAAATAACTTTCTGACTTATATTGTAGTTATTTATCCAAGTTCTTTGGCTTCCTTTTATGTTTTCCTTGACTTTTTAACAGTTTTAATTTCTTATAATGTCTGTTTCCTTTATAGTCAGTCTTTTTTTAAAATTTTTCCTAAAGATAATGTAAATAAAGATTTTGTTCTTGTAAAATAAACAATATTCACAAAATGTCTTTGAATTTCCCATAAATAAATTAAGTTATGGTTGTGTAATATATTAAAGAAGTTTGAGATATTTATTAATTCTGGATGCTGGGACTAGAGGGATTTGTTTCATTCTTTATGGTTTTTAAACATTATAAAGTAGTAATAAGAGAATTGGGTAGTAATATTAAAAATATTTCCATCCCCAAATGGTTAAAATAAATGATAAAATTTGAGTGTTTAAAAGCATACATTTTGAAAAAAAAATTTTTTTGAGACAGGTCTCATTATGTAGTTTAGGCTGGCCTTAAACTCACTATGTAGCCCAGGCTGGCCTTAAACTCACTATGTAGCCCAGGCTGGCCTTGAACTCACAGCGATCCTCCTGCCTCAGCCTCCCGAATGCTGAGATCACTGGTGTATGCCACCATGCCTGGTGAAAGGCCTGTGTTTTGATTCTCTAGAAAATTTTCTCTGTAGTGCTTGTTGGCGCTGGAGAGCCCCAGAGTATCATAGCAGCATACTGGATCAGCTTAGCATGACAGCCAGGGCTCTGAGTCTACCGTGGGTCTGTGCTTATGCTTACAGAAGCTGCAGCGATAGCTTCAGTGGACCACGCGGGCTACCCTCTCGGGACCATGTAGCTTCTCACACATCTCACAGGAAGTCAAGGATACAAATGAGAAGGCAGATCCACATTACCTCCAGTGCACCTACCCATCACCGTGTCTGAAATTGTGTTTCTTTTGCTTCTTAGGTAGCAGATGGGGCAAATGCCATTGTGCTGGGGACGCTGGGAGATGTGGCCTCTCCTCTTGCAATTATTGGTGGAAATTGTGTTCTACAGGGTTTTGATCATGAAGGAAATGATCTCTTTTGGACGGTATGAAGAACCAAACATTCTTTTTTGATAGCCTTAAGCAGTTTTAATTTTCTTTAGCATATTTTAAAATTTACTGTCTGTACTAAATAATAAAAACGGAATAATATTTGTAATTCATACATTTAAAAAATATGATCAAGTCAAATAGCTCATTGGCTGCTTGTATAATCCCTCTCTTCATGCAGCTGATATATTTGAATGAAATGGAAGAGCTGACGTGCCACTTTATTTCCAGGTTACTGGAGACAATGTTCATTCCTTGGCTTTGTGTGACTTTGATGGTGATGGGAAGAAAGAGGTAGGTGGGAAGAAGATGCCCCTAGGGTGTGTTCTCTGTGTTAGTGTTGAGAGAGGTCTCACCCTGATCTTGGAGCTTTGTTCCCTCAATGATATCTAACTGGCCACATTTATTCAGTCAGTGAACTGAAGTGTTTATTAGTTCTGATATCTCCTCTTTTTGAACAATAAATCACTTGTGTTCATCTAATACAAACAATATGCCATGGAGTATGAAAGACAGGACAGGGAAGAAAAGGCAGAGTAGTTTATGGGACCTTTGTTATATTCATAACCTTATAAATTGCTTTGGATGCTTTGAAACATATTCATAAATTGTTTCCATTTTGGCCTACTTTTTTTCTTTGGAATCTAAAAAGTTTCAGCAATTATCTTTTAGTCCTCTGAAGTTAATTTCTAATAATTACTCTGGAAATCAGCATTTTGGGCCTGAGCATGCGAAGTGCTGTGTCGGGCATTAACTTGTCCCTAGATGCTGGGCATTGATGTCTGAAGTTGGGCTCCCATTTGCACGCTGGTAAAGTTACTCAGCCAGAGAGCATTTTCAGGTACACGGTGAAAGAAAATATTCTGGCAAGATGTGCATTCCACTTGGCAGGATAAAATCTGTTCTTCACTGCCTGAATCTGTTGATCCTTCAGTTAAAGGGAACTTCCCGAGCACTGGATTGGAACTCTGGAGTGGCAGTAGCAGCCGAGTACGGTGCCATTTTTTTTTGTTTTATTTATGGACATTTTGCTATTTACTTATTAAACTAAATATTTATGATTTCTCCACCTTCAGCTCCTTGTTGGGTCTGAGGATTTTGATATCCGAGTTTTTAAAGAAGATGAGATTATAGCAGAAATGACGGAAACAGAGGTAAGGCGTGCACCCTAGAGTTGGGATAAGCTCGGGGAAGACAGAATGGCTCAGTCAGGTATAGTACTACATGAGAGTGCTGGAGGGTCTTCTCACATGAGAGTGCTTGGTGATTTTAGAATAAAAACTGAGTTTCTCCTTAGTCTGCTGTCTACCTTTTTTATTTGATTGCTTTTTGGAGATGAAATGTTGCTCTATTCAGGCTGGCCTTGAACTCACTATATAGCCAGGCTGGCCTCGGATTTCCAGCAACCCCTGTCTCAGCCTTCCAAGTACTGGGATTACAGGTGTGCACCACCGTACCCATCTTACTTTGTACTTTTTATATAGTCACAATTATTATAATTTAAAATGACAGCTGTGGATAGAGAAGAAATAAAGGAGAAATCAGTGCCAAAGCAGTAATGTAAAGAAGTGTGTCTGTATATAGGATTCTATTTTACATACTTTTCCAGAAAGAGGGTGTTTGGCTTTGATTAGGTTCTTAAAGAGGTTTGTGTAGCTTCACCTCCCTGCCCCCCAAAAAACACCAACACCACAGTTGGGTATAGGGCTGTATCCTATATCATCATATTTCTTTCATTAAAAAATTTTCTTAAGATGAAGAGTCTTGCTATATAGTTCAGCTTGCCTTGAACTCATTTTGTAGCCCAGGCTGGCCTTGGACCCTGCCTCATCCTCCTGAGGGCTGGGATACATCAGGCACCACCACACCCAGCCCTTTCATTCTAATTTATAGTTAATTTTTCCCAGTTGGTTGGAATAAATATGATTTTAAATAAACATGATTTTAAAAGTATATTTTTGTCAGTTTTAGGTGTTAGGAGAGTGTGTGTTTTGAAACACTTTTTTTCCCCCAAATCCTAGAAAAAATAAGGAGAACGTGAAATAGGTGTTAGAGGGAACTTGTTTTTCTTATTGTCTACAAAAGAAAAAAGGAATGAATTAAGGAAACCCTAAAGGACCTGGGGAATATGAGGTTAAATTTATGAAAATATACACTTTATGAAATTGTTTCGGATGATGCATGCCTGTAATCCCAGCACTCAGGAGGCTGGGGCAGGAGGATCCTTGCAAGTTTGAGACCAGCCTAGGCTACAAAGAGAGTTTGGGAGAAGCCTGAACCAAAATGACAAAAAAAAAAAAAAAAGTTCTTCTGCCAGCTCTTAGTGCAAATGTCTTTTCCCAAGTGAACAAAATCTAGATTCATTTGGCAGTTGAACAATATTAAGTATTCAGAAGAATGCTTGAGTTAAATAATTCTGGAATCTTACACAGCACTGTGTATTCAGAGTTAGGTGAAGTGGGTAGTTTTGTAGAAATGCTGTAGGTGTAAAGAAAATTACATAACTATTCTTCGCTTTATACAATATATTTCTTAAGGTCTCTTGTATTAGGGCCAGAATTAGAAAATAGATCTGTAGAATCACAGATATTATTAAGCTTTGGCTTTAACTTTAAAGGATAATTTTGTTCCATATCTAAAAGTTTATCTTCTAAAGATATTAAATGATCCCATAGTCCTATAAACATTTCCATATAATATGTGCATTCTATTTATTGTTACATCCACACAAGTCTATGTGTTTGAGTTTTCAATTTTGAAAGGATGATACTTTCTTTTTTTTTATCTTTAGCAAACAGTAGGTTATGTAATAGAAAAATGTACACTCAAAAGTTAGTTAATCCTTGTCTCTTAGTTACCTTTTACTTGTCGCTGAGACAAAAATACCTGATGCACCAAGTTGGGAAAGGAAAGGTTTATTTCTTACAGGTTTTGGAGGTTTCAGTCCATACTCAGTTGGCTCCAAGGCAGGATGGCATGGCAGGGCCACAGTTCATGGCAGCTGCAAATAGCAAGGTAGAAACCGGCAAAAAAAGTGAGACACACTTTCTTCCTGCCATTACATTGTATGCTGGCTCCACTCCTATGTGGGTGTAGCACTGACACCATCAATCCAAGTGCTGCACAATGAATCAATCACAAATGCATAATGCAAACGCATGAGGCCTGGGGGCCACCCACGTAAACCATGACATTCCACCCCTGGCCCCCAGGACTCATCTTTTATATAAAAAACATTTAGTCTATCTCCAAGAGTTGCCAAAGTCCTAACAGTTTCAGCATTAAAGAAAAGTCCAAATCCCAAGTCTCCTCTAAGATCTATGGCAAACTCTTAAACTGTAACCCTCTGTACAAATGAAACAAGGTTAAACATTTCTGAAATGCAAAGGCACAAGAAAAACATTACCATTCCAAAAGTTACAAATAAGTAAATACAAAGCATTGGAAACAAAGCAAGTCCAACATCCAGCAGGATGAACATTAAGTCCTAGAGTTACATGCTAAGCATCTGAAGCAATCTAGTTGCAAGCTCCAAAAGGCTTGGGTGATTCCACCCCCATGGCACTTCCGGGGATTTCAGATCCCGAAGCTTCTCTCTTAAACTCTCTTTGCTCATTTTTTGCAGCTTTCCTTGGATGATCCATGTTCCTTTTCCAAACTTCTGGGGTCTCCACTGCTCCTTTGGCTTCACCTTTACATCTTTCCAAATTGCCCATTCAGAGGCACACTGCTTGGCCTCCCAGGCCCTTTGCAATCAAGGTGGAAGCCATCTTACCCTCAGAATTTGTGCATTTTCCTTGCACCTAAAATCAGCACTATGTGGATGCTGCCAAGGTTTGCTGCCAGCTGGAGCAATAGCCAGGCTTTTTTCTCTCCTGGCTGTAGGGATCAATTGTGTAGATTGTTGGGCTCTGTGAATCTGATTGTGAAGAAAAGCTTCTCTATGTTGCTGCCATTCTGGAATCTCATGTGGCCTCCATTGCCATTCTGGAGTGTGGTGCTCTGAAGCTTTCTCCTCTGAGCAAATTCTTTCACTTTTGCAGTTTTGAGGCTGCAAAGGGTGGGCAGCCAGTGCTTCCTGGGATGCCCTGGGGCCATCTTTCTTGTCGCTCTGTTTCTTCTCAGCAGTCAAAGTCTCAGTTAGAACTTTACAATCCACACCTTCGCTGGAGTTTTCCTTCTGGCCAAACTTACAGTATTGTAAATTATCTTACCAGGCTCTTTCCTCTTGATTTGTAACATAAAGCTGGCTAAAAATCCCCAACAATAGTCATGCCACAGCCTCAACATTCGACTGTGTTGAAATTTCCTTTTCCAGATTAATCAGTCCATTGCCCTTAATCTCAGTCTCAGGCAAAGTCTTTGGGCATGAGCAAAATGCAGACAAAGTTTCTGCTAAGCCATAACACACATCACGGGAAAACGTAGTCAGTATCCAACAACCAATGCAGTCCTTCTTCCCATCAGAAACCTCCCAAGCCTGGTCTTTACCATGAGGCTTTCTATCACTATTCTGGTCTCCTGAGCTCTGACCAGAATCTCCTCTACAGAACAGCCTAAGCTGCTGCAGCTCTATGCATCCAGGTAACATGTCCGAACCTTTCCAAACTCTGCCTACAGCCATTTCCAAAGCCTCTCGAAAAACATGGTCAGGTACAGTCACAGCAAATCACCCTACTCCCTGGTACCAAATTCTGTCTTAGTTACTTTTTACTCGTTGCTGAGACAAAAATACCTGATGCACCAAGTTGGGAAAGGAAAGGTTTATTTCTTACAGGTTTTGGAGGTTTCAGTCCATACTCAGTTGGCTCCAAGGCAGGGTGGCATGGCAGGGCCACAGTTCATGGCAGCCGCAAATAGCAAGGCAGAAGCCGGCAAAAAAGCGAGACACACTTTCTTCCTGCCATTACATTATATGCTGGCTCCACCCCTATGTGGCTACAGCACTGACACCATCAATCCAAGCACTAGACAATTAACCAATCACAAATGTGTAGTGAAAACGCATGAGGCCTGGGGGCTACAGACATAAACCATGACAATCCTAGATTATAATTCTTTTTAAAATTTAGAGTCTAAAGGCTGGGAATAAAGCTCAGTGGCACAAGTTGCCTGCCTGGCAAATGGAAGGTCCTGAGTTTGATTTCTAGTACCAAAGGAAAAAAAAAAGTCTCCAAAATTAGAATCTAAGATTGTAAATTAAGGAAACTGAAATAATCATTAAAATCATTTGAGTTAATATATATAATAATTTCCATTGTATGTATCCTAGGTCTTGTATACTCAGTATTTTTTCCTCCTTAATCCTGTTTTATTGTGATTCTTCTAAAATAATTTTCTAAACTTGCTTTATGATCTAGATCTAAAATGCTAAAGTTTGTGAGTTTTATAAAAATCTTAAAATCTTTTCCAACCCTGAAATAGATAACATGGCAGAGAAATATATTGCCCACTAGTGGGTTGGAAATGGTTTTACATCTCATTTTAACATACTTGTAGCAAGGCTTGCAGTCTTCTAAAGCTATATGTTGCATTGTATTAAGACCTAATGAAAAGATGTGTTTTATGTATTATTTTTGCAGATAATCACCTCTCTATGCCCCATGTATGGCAGCCGATTTGGGTATGCCCTTTCCAATGGCACAGTTGGAGTTTATGACAAAATGGCCCGATCCTGGAGAATTAAAGTTAGTATGTTCAGCTTCTGCTATTCAAGGATTTTATATTTCCAGTATTAAGAGGCTTCTGTACTAATTATTGGAATTCTTTTTCAGTCCAAAAATCATGCCATGAGTATTCATGCTTTTGACCTTAATTCTGATGGAGTATGTGAACTGATAACTGGCTGGTCGAATGGGAAGGTAGGTTTAAATAGCAGAGCTCAAAGTAGCAAATTCGATGTTGGCTGCATGAGAATAGGAACATGGAAATATAAACCTGAGTTCCTTGACTACGTTTTCAAATTTCTCTCAGTCTTTCTACATTATTTCTTCCTTCCAGAGTGAGTGTTTTTTCACCCTTACAAGCCACATTTGAGATAAAATATCTGGGTAGATTCTTTTAAAGTCTCTCTGATAGAATGAAAATTCATTGTTCAAAATGCTTTTGGTACATGTAGACCAGTGAAAAATAAAAGAACTTTTAATAATCTAATAATGAACTGTCTTAGCGCTTTCCTAGTAAATCTTTAAAAATAACTGGAAACTCAGTTAGTGGGGGAAATCATGTTAGTAATACTGAAATGATTATTAAAGTCTAATGCTGGCATGTTGTTCTCAGCAACTTCAAAGCAATATTCTTTTGCTTTCTTTTTTTCTCCTCAAATCAGATTTTCTTATAGACTTTTGACGAGTCAAAATTGTCTCCTTAGAAACTCCTCTAAGTAGCTGCCAGATCTCCATGGATACCATTTGCCCTAGCTTTTTATCTGTTACTCTTGAACTACCTAAAGAGGAGCAACAAATTCCTGTCTTTTCTCTTTTGCTTTTTCTTTGCCTATCGCTCACACCTCCAGCCTTTCTTTGATGTTATATAAAAAAATAGTTTCTAAAAAGTTATTATAAAATAGAAATTCCATCTCACCCAGCTATTCCCCGTTGGGTATCTTCCCCAAAGAGTTAAAGATGTAATATTGGGATACATGCATACCCTTGTTTATAGCAGCACAACTTGTAATAGCTCGATCTTGGAAGTGGCCTGTATGCCCATCACCAAATGAATGGATAAAGAAAATGTGATATTTATATACATAATGAAATTCTTCTCTTCTATAAAAAGGATAAATTCAAATCATTTGTAGAAGAAATAGATATACCTTAAATCCAATGTTAGTGAAATAAATCACAAGGTTTCTCTTATATGAGAAACCTGAAGTATAAGAAAGGGCAAAACAAAAAATTGATTATAGGAAAGTGAGATCATACCTTTTTGGAGATGGGAGAAGGATCTTCTGCTAGGGAATCCCAGCTGTGAGAAGGGAGAAGGATCATCCCTTCCCTAGGAAGGGATGGAAAGAAGAGCGAGGAGAAGGGAAGTACAATAAGAAGGGCTAAGATGTGACATAATATATAATGTAATAACTTCCCATGATGAGTGTATTCACTGTGTATCTCAAACATGTACTAATAAAAACTTAAAAAAATGAAGCTGTTAGGTTAGAGCTGGGTGTGATAGTGCACACTGGTCATCCTAGTATTCCGGGAGGCTAAAGCAAGCGGATAGCAAGTTCAAACCCAGCCCAAACAACTTAGCAAGTCTCTATCTCAAAATTACAAATAAAAAAGGCTGAGTGTGTAGCTCGGCATGAAGGCCTTAGGCTTGATCCCCAGAATTAAAAAAACAACAACAACAACAACTAGGTTCCTTTTCTTAGTTTTGTCTGTGATGTGGGTATTAAAAGTTTTAAGGGAGTTGAGGGTACAGCTCAGTAGTAGATCTCTTGCACAGCATATAGAAGGCCTTGGGTTCAATTCCCAGTACCACTATTATGAAGACTCTAGTTGTTTGTGAAGGTATTTGAAGTTCATAAAACAAGTGTCTTAGTCCACTGAGGCTTTTTATAACAAAATACCATAGACTGTGCAGCTTGTAAATAACACTTCACAAGCTCCAGAAAGTCAAAGTGAAGGTGCTGGCAAGATGTGGGTGTGGGAGGGCCTGGTCCCTCAGAGGGCCGTCTTCTCGCTACAGCTTTCCCTGTGGAGAGAGTAAGGGACTCTCAGTGTCTCCTGTGGGGTACTAATCCCAGGTGTGAGGGCACTGCTTCTCCTCACTTCCCAGAGGCTTTTAACTCCTACACTGTCACCTTGGGGTTAAGATTTCAGCATTCTTTAATGGGACAAAACTACTCACACCATAGCGATGAACCAAATTATGGGAAAAATTATTACAGTGGATTCAGGAATTAGAAAACTACTAGATTTAAGAAATCATTAAAAGTTACCTCAAAATATGACTTTGGACCTAGAGTTTTTATAAGGAAATACTTTGAAAATTTTGAGGATTTTCTATTATATAATGTGTCTCAGCACAAAAAAAAAGATAAATTATACAAGCATTATGTAAGTGGGAAACTGATTATCTACACTTAACAGGAATAGCACAGAAAAGGAAAACACACAGATGCAGCTTGGTAATGTAGGTGTAAAGATACTAAACAAATGCTACTAGCCAGTTAACTCTATAGTAGGCCATTTGTTGAGTTAGAGGCCCATCCTCTCCCTCAGGACAAAACTTCCATGTTGGGTAAGCAAAAGAGCAGAGTAACTACAGAAATAGCAATGCATAATCCTCTTTCTTAGTGAGCAAATGAGCCCTCTCATTTGCTAAAATTGTGGGACTGAATGCAAGAAGCTGTTAGGTGGTGAGGCTTTCATTGGAAAGAAGCAAGTCAGTTTAGTTTGAGTTAGAGGGTTACATTATATACCAACACCTTTGGTAAGATGCAGGGATCCTTTTGCAGGCTTTCATAGTCATAATCTCCAGGCTTATATGATGTTATTTTATGTAACATGAATAATAGAAAGTGATATTACTCCAGGCAAGGGGGTAGGCTGTGATTTTTTGTTTGCAAAGTTTTACCAAGAAGGATGTCAAAGACAAAACAGTAGAGACTTCTGGGAGAGCATGGCGGATAGATAAGAGCAGCTACTGAGGCTCTCTGAGATACCCCGCTTAGAATCCAGGAATGGTGTGGTATGAGGAATCCTAAGCAAGGGGAGATATACCCTGCCGACCCAGGAACAGAGAGAGAACAGAGTGGAGAGAAACCAACTGGAAATGCAATCCCAGTGCTATAACAGGAACAGATAAAATCTCAGCTTGGAAGCTGGAACCCGTGCCTCTGGAAGCCGTGATTTGTATTTCCTGCTGCCACTGCTGCGTCCAAATCCACACGGCACGGAGAGAGACACGTGAAAGCTCTGAGAGTGGGAATTGGTGAACGGAATTGAGAGGAGGACTGGCAAGGAGCCCTACATCAACCTGCAGTGAGTGAGCAGAACAGGGACCCTTCCATAGAGTAGGAGGCTCCAGCAAAGGACATTCTGGGATCAGCCAGACTAGCCGGAACAGGACGCTGCAGTGACTTTAGTCACATATTCCCCTCTCAAGCAGGATTGGTGGGGAGTGCCTGGCCTGGGTGACACCACTGACTAAGACCCAATAGGCTAGCCCAAACCAGGTCCCAGCGCCTGGCGGTGCACCCTAGCAGGGAAGCCTTCGGTAGGTTGACCTGGAGGGGCGGGCCCAGCAGAGGCTGCCCAGGTCTGTGTCTCCCTAGTGCACTGCAGTGGGCAGGAACAACTAGCCAGCGGATTCAAACAAACTGTAACCTACAAAGAAAAAAACTGGGCTTCCTATATTCGCTTGTATGGAAGGAACAAAAAGTATGGGAAGAGGGAGCAACAAGAAAGGTCCTCAGTCCCCAATCCTGAGAACACTGATCCAGGAAAGATAAATGCAAAGGAGAACAGAAAACATGCAGTATCAGACATGGCACCAAGAGACATAAAGCAGTATCTCTGGAGCCTCATAGATGAGTTCAAAAGTGAAGTATTTAATGAAATAAAGCAAGATATAAGTGGAATAGTTAGAGAAATGCTAAGTACCGCCCAAGAAAAAACAGATGGTGGAATGGAAGAACAGAAAAAAAGGGGAGAATTGTTTGATGGAAAAAATAGAGAAAACATAGAATATGTGAAGCAGGTTCAAAGAGATTACCAGGAAACTAAAAACTCTATCGAAAACTGGCATAACAAAAAGAAAGAAACTAAGGATAGATTATCTGAACTGGAGGGCAGATTTGTAATGTGGGAGCATGAATGAAAAACTTCTTAAAAATAACAAGAAAACAAACAGCAATAATACAAAAGCTAGAAGATGATAAGAGGATCTATCCTGGTGCTATAACAGGAACAGATAAACTTAAGAATTAAGAACATAAAAGAAGAAGGACACAAACAAATGGATTACAAAAGCTATTCACAGAAATAATCCAAGAGAATTTCCCGAATTTAGCAAAAGATAAAGATACTCAGATGTATGAGGCATACAGGACCCCAGCCACCTACAACCCAAACAGAGCTACACCCAGGCATATAATAATCAAAATTCCAGAAATCCAATATAAGAACAGAATATTAAAAGCTGTCAAAGACAGGAAACATCACTTACAAGGGAACACTCATCAGAATTACAGCAGACTTCTCGGCACAAACCATCAAATCATGAAGAGCGTGGGGGGAAATAATTCAAGCTTTGAAAGATAATAACCTCCAGCCAAGATTGATATATCATGCACAACTGTCCCTAGAAGTTGATAGAAAAACAAGGTGCTTCCAGGATAAAGAGGAACTAGGAGAATTTGCAACCACCAGTTCAACTCTATAGAGAATATTGCAGGATATTCTACAAAAGGAAAATACCAAGATTCCAGAAACAGTGGCAGAGAGGCCACAATGAATGGAGCAGAAAGCGAAATGAAGACAAACTGACAACAAACAACAGAAAAAGAGCTCAACAGAAATGAGGCAGAGAAGGTTGGATGGTAGGAACAGCTATTCTGGAGAATATAAGACATCATAATAGCTAGTGCTGATTTAGTATCATCTTGTTTTGAAGTCCCATCAAGCTTTTATTCTTCTGTCTCCATCGGTCTTAACAGGTTGTATCTTATTGGATTTTATTATGTGTGATAATATAAACAAAAACTTTTATAGACAAAGAGATTATACAGAAACCATTGTTCATTTTCTGTTAGTTATACCCTGTAATACTGTCATTCTCTTGAATGGTTTTACATTGTCTCGATATATTTGGTGCTGCAGTATACAAAGTTATACTCAAAGATTTCAAGGAAAGAGACACTATGGTAACTATCTTTATGTCAGGATATCTTGTGGTGAAACTATTTTGCTTAAATGGTTATGTTTTGACGTGCGCTGTTTTGTTGTTATGCCCTCTTTTATCTCAATCTCCTTTTTTAAATTACTTACTTTTTTATTTTTATCTTTTTAATTAAGGGAAAAATAAATAAAAAATAGCAGGATATATTATAGTAACCCACTTTGATTTCCTATTAACTTGATTTGAAACCCTCTATTGCCCTCATCATCTTGTTTTGACTGATTTTCCCCTATTCTGCTTCGCTTGATAGTACCAAGTTCGAAAGTATAGGCAACAACTGTGAAGACATTAGGATTCATTATGACACCCATTCTGGTTGACTCTTATCTTCTTTTAAAGTCTGTAATGTCTCCAATGTTTTGGTTTTATTCTTTACTGTTTTGTTCAATTTTATTATAACTGATGATATAGGCAGTTCTTTTTAAAGATAGCAAGAGGCAGTATGGTAACCATTGTTGATCACCTGGTATTTTGTTTTTACATTATGTATTATGTCCATTCTTTTGATTTGACTGACTCTGTTCTGTTATGTCACATTTGGTTTTACTCTCTTCAAAAAAAAGTAATAAGAACTGTGGGAGTAATAAAACCCAAAATGTGTAATTCTCATTGTACAAAAGAAAGGAAAAGAAAGTGCTCTAAAGGAAATATCTGCATGTATATTTAAGTGTATAAGATAGATAACCATATTACTGAATTTTTCTGGATCACTGAACAGAACTGTTAGCAGTCTCACTGTTTGAAAGTTCACTTTATATACTTTAATTTTGTAACTTAAACAAATATTTCTAAGATAACAATATATAATCTATTAACTAATGATTTCCTACTGTTTATTTTTTCTGAAATTCTGTATAACTTGTACCCTTTTTCTGTTTTTTTTTTTTTTTTTTTGCTTTTTCTCCTTAAATAAAATCTAAAAAAAAAAGACAAAATATATTCTAACATGGTGGTATATGCCTGTAATCCTATCCCTGGGGACGCAGAATGTTTTCTGCAAGTTTGATGCCAGGTTGAGTTGTATAATGAGTTCATAACCAGCCTGAATTACACAATGACACCTTGTCTCAAGCCCCAACTACCCCTCAAAGAAAAAGAAATAAAAAAGACAAAATAATGAATGGCACTGTCAATTCATAATGCTTGTTCTACGAGATTTACTATAGCTAGTCTTTTAGTCTTTTATTGATGATACCTGTGTCCTTGTCTGGAACAAAATTATCATTTCAAGTAAGTGAAAATTTCATGTTATTTCTGAGATACATTAATTTTTTTTTTAATTTTTAAATTTTATTTATTTATTTTTGTCTTTTTTTTTGTCTTTTTCATTTTTATCGGTACCCACGATTGAACTCACGACTGCCTGCAAGGCAGGCGCTTATTCCACTGAGCTAAATCCCCAGCCTCTATTTTTGTCTTTTTGAGACAGTTTTTCTCTGTAGTTCAGGCTGACCTTGGGCTCACGATGTAGCCCAGACTGGTCTCTAACTTGCAACAGTCCTCCTGTCTCAGCCTCCTGGGTGCTGGGATTATAGGCATGTGCCACAACGCCCAGTTGAAAATTTCTTTTTGAAAAACTGGTTCTCACTTTGTAGTTCAGGCTGGCCTTGAATTTGTGATCTTCTTGCTCAGCCTCTTGAATGCCAGGATTACAAGAATGTGTTACCACAAACAGCTGATGATTGTTTTTCAGATGCACTTGTTTCTGATTCATGTTGTATCCTGGGAAGAGTGGACTTGAGAGTTCTCTAAGAACTCTGAATAGTTTTTATATGGAAGAGGGCTCTTGTAAAATGAGAGTTGTTGTAAAATGTTTTAGGTGGAAGATTTGGCTAATTTGGCATTGTTTAGACTTTAGCTGTAACTAAATTTTATAAATTTATATATCCTAAGAGATGTAATTTTATATGGCACTAACATTTGTGGTGTATCTGTGTGTTAGGTCCTATTAAAAGTACTTTCCACGTAGTAACTGTTTTTAGGCCTCGTTACAGCCAGGGGAGGTGTAGGTACTGTTATTTTCCCTGTATTCATGCTATTGATGCCTAGATGAGAACAAATAGAAAATGGTTAAGAAGCTCACCCAGTATCCCATAGTACATGGCACAGATGAATTCTGGACCCTGGCAGTTTAACCTTGGAGCCCACAGCATTTTGTGCCACACTGTGTATACTGTATGAATTACATCTTAGCTGATGCATTTTTCAAATGAAACATTATTTGAAGGCCAGTATGTAAAACAACTTTTACTGAAAAAGAAGAAAGTAAAGCTGGTTTGAGGCCCTTTTGCTCCTCCTGGCCACAGAAGTCATAGGTATCACTAGAGAAGTTACAGGCTTTATGGAGTAGTCTTAAAAACTACTAATTAAAGGACTTGGAAAACTGGTTTTCATTTTAAAATTTTGTGGTGGTAGTATCATTTTCAAACTGTAGCTGAAGTGGTTTTTAAGTTCTTGTTTTATTTTTAGGTTGATGCTCGAAGTGACCGGACAGGGGAGGTCATCTTTAAAGACAACTTTGCTTCAGCAATTGCTGGTGTGGTGGAAGGAGATTACCGAATGGATGGCCACGTACAGCTCATCTGCTGCTCGGTGGATGGGGAAAGTAAATCGGGATAAGAAAAATCCTTGAAAAGTCAAATTTTCAATTTCGTTGGATCAAGATGCCAGCAAATTCCACTAGAAGATACTGTGTTGGGGCTCGCTAGTTATAATAAATGCACCTAAGCTGGAAGGAGAGAATTTAGATTTTTGTCTTTTAAAAGCAAGTAATTGATGACCCAACGGTAGGTGTGACCATCTTTGGGATGTTCTTCCTTCAAGTGAGTATTTTGTCTCTTTTCAGTCCGAGGTTACCTGCCAGGCACAGCCGAGATGAGGGGAAGCCTCATGGACACTAGCATGGAGCAGGACCTGATCCGAGAGCTGAGTCAGAAGAAGCAGAATCTGTTGCTGGAACTCCGTAACTATGAGGAAAATGCCAGGGTGCGGCCTAATGTGAAGGGGAACTAGAAGTAAACGTGAGAGAAGAGTTAGAGTCAGTGCTGGCCAGAAAGCTGAGGCAGGAGGATTGCGAGGTTATAGCCAACCTAGCAAGCTCTGTCTCAAAATTAAAAAACAAACAAACAAACAAAAAACCCAGAAAACACTGGGTATGTAGCTCAGAGGTAGAATGCGTGAGGCCCTGGGTTCAGTCCCCGATTCTTCCAAAAGAAGAAAAGAAAAATGATGATAGGAAGTTCTTCTTATGGAGCTGAATAGCCAGATCATTTAAAAAGGATATTTGTTCAGCGTTTCAGTGAGGTCAGTGAGCTGAAGTGGGGGGGCTGTCTTGCAGGCTGAACTGAGCAGTCCACAGAATGAGGCTGACGGGCAGAGGGATGTCATACCGGCCAACACCAGGCTCCACACTATCCTCTCCGTCAACCTGGGCAGCGAGACTCAAGCTGCACACACAGAGTTGTGCGTTTCCACTTCAAATGGTAAGATGTTACTTATAGCATGGGTTCAGGTGCCCGTGTCACCTTGGAATAGTTACTGAACTACCCTTTTCTTCTTTCCTGCAGATACCATCATCCGAGCAGTGTTGATTTTTGCAGAGGGAATTTTTGTAGGGGAAAGCCACGTGGTACATCCCAGCGTCCACAACCTCTCCAGCTCTGTCTGTGTCCCAATTATACCACCCAAGGATGTCCCTGTCGATCTGCACTTGAAAGCCTTTGTGGGTTACAGAAGCAGGTGACCCATTACAAGTTCAGTTCTGTAAAGCACTTGTTTTCCATTACGCATGCAATCTGTGGGGCCAGAGACACCACTTAGTGGCTCTGCCCTCCGGTGGAGGTTTCCTAGGACCTTTTACTGGAAGGGGCCAGTGTGTAAGTTTAAAATGGTTATTTTCTGTTTTAATCAGATGACCTTAGAATCACAAAATATGTCTGAGACTGGAGAGACTGGAGATGTAGCACCATGGAGGAGTGTGTAATCCCCAGCACTGCACAACCAAGAAAAGTTTAATTAGTGATTTGTCAACTTACAGTTTTGGCTATTAAGACTTAAAGAGTTGGGGTGCCCCTGTGTATTAGAGTAGGGTTTTATATAATCTCAGCTAGTAAAGAAAAACCACAGAATTTGTGGAAAATAAAGTCTTCTCACATCCCTTTAAGAGTACTTGAAAGCCCAGTGTCTGCATGGCTATATGTGTGCTCATGAGCCCTAATTCTCAAATCCCGCTTCTATAATACATTAGCCTTCGAGTCTTTTGGGGGACTGAAGCCCTTAAATATCATGTGGTGATGATCCTGTAGCGACTTTAGTTTTGGGGCCTCGCTTTTTGAAGTGATATTATACTGAACATTTCTCTTGTGTCCCTCTGGTTGGCCCTAGCACCCAGTTCCATGTATTCGAGTTGACAAGACAGCTGCCCCGATTCTCCATGTATGCACTGACCAGCCCAGACTCTGCCAGCGAGCCACTCAGTTATGTTAACTTTATCATTACAGAACGGGCACAGAGGGTGAGTAGCATGGCCTTTTCTTTTGAGGTACTTTTGCTCACGTTATCTTCTCTTTTTTTGAAAAAAAAAAAAAAAATTATCTGAACAATCCTTAATTGCCAGTGAATTCGGACCAGTTCTTAATTCTTTTCTATTTTTTGTTATGGCCTTCGTATGGTTGTCTTGACTTAGTGTTTCAAAAGGAGCCTACTTCAAGATGGAAAGAGGAGAAGCTGGGTGCAGTGGCATGTGAGGCTGAGGCAATCCTCTTGGATTGCTTGAGCTGAGGAGTTCAGGGTCAGCCTGTGCAACATAGTGAAACTTTGTCTGTTAAAAAGAAAAAAAAAAGATGGGGAGAGGGTGGGACTTGGAGCTGGAAATACATTTTGGGTTCAAGTTCTATCTTAACTAAATACATTCTTAGTAATCATGGATATTCTGCCCTGAGCCTCAGTTTCCTTACCTATAAGTGAGGGAAGTATTGCCCACCTCACAAAGGGCCTTTGAGGATTATGTGACTGGTATGACAGTACCTTGTAAAGTCTAAAGGACTCTTGCCAGTGGCCTTAACCTTGGCCGGGTTGCAGTATTCTTGGTTTTTTAATTGCATAGATGGCCTGTGTGGAACCTGAAGGTTCATAGGTGGACCCTTCCAGGCAACCTCATGATTCTTACATAGATGTTGCAAACCACTGTGTGTTATTACTAACACTGAAACATAGCGTGTGGACATGTGTTTTTGGCATATGTGCATGAATATTTCATTTAAAAACTTTTTACAAGTAGAATCAATTAGTTTTAAGCAGACAGTGATATCCAGGATACACCCACAGAACAGCTATCTTATAAACAGATTTAGCACTGAACCATAGTAATTTATACATGATAGAGTACGGGTATGTCTCAGTATAAAATACTGTAAAATCCTGCCTGCCATGGGGCCAGACATAATTCTGAACGTTACTTGAGAAAACGTATGAGAAGGGAAAAAGGGAGTGTGACTTTTTCTTAGTGGGGGATGAAGTATAATTTTTTTAACCAAATAGTAAAACTAGAGTGAAGGAAAAAGTCTTCCTTGTGTAACAGCTATACATTAAGAACCGAAGTTTACTTTATTCTATTATTTTTCAGATCGCTCTATGGCTCAACCAGAACTTTCTGTTACCAGAAGACACTAATATTCAGAATGCTCCATTTCAAGCGTGTTTCACGTCTTTACGGAATGGTGGTCACCTCTGCATAAAAATAAAATCTAGTGGAGAGGTAATATTGAATGTCATGGGGCAGGTGCAAGATGTAACCCCGCAGTGGAGCACTTGCCTAGTGTGTGTGAGGCCCTGTGTTCCAGCCACCGCATCAGAGAAGAAAAAAGAAAGAAAAAAAAGGAAAACAGTGTTATTATCATTGGTGTCCATAGTTTTCTTGTGGGGTTTAACCATTCAGTGGAAAGTAAGATGTGACATCAGTGTGAGGATCTTAAAAACCATCGTTTCAGCTGAGCCTTTGCGTGTTATTGCAGACACTGGAGTATAGTAACAGGATGGTTTTCTGCCTTTCTCCTTCCTTCCCTTCACTCTTTCCTATAATGCGGGAAGCAGGGGGAGAGGGGAGATTACTAAGGTGGATTTCATTATTTGAATAATTTTGTCATTTAGTTCATAAGGCTCACAGATTGACCTTTTAGCTATGGTGCAGGAAGTAATGAATGTGGTTTGTAATTTCCTGAAGGGCTAAACTCTACCTGATCACTACATATAAATATATGCTCAGTAATTGTGTTAACTGAAGAAAGTCAATCTCGGTTGACTTTATTTCCTATCTGAGAATGCTAAACTTGCCTGTTTTCTTTTCTTGGCTAGATTACTTTAAATACTGATGATATTGATTTGGCTGGTGATATCATCCAGTCAATGGCATCATTTTTTGCTATTGAAGACCTTCAAGTAGAAGCAGATTTTCCTATCTACTTTGAGGAGTTACGAAAGGTGCTAATTAAGGTGAGGGCACCTACTTTGTTGCATTTGTGAAACTATGTTAGTCTCTTAGTCTGAGATATTTATTTTATGAGATGTATGAGCTCGGAGAAGCTGAGGCAGGAAGATCACAAGTTCAAGCCCAGGGTGGTCAACTTAGTGACTCAGTAAGCCCATTTCAAAATAAAATTTTTAAAAAAGAACTGGAATTGTAGCTTAAGACGAAAGTCCTGGGTTTGGTCCCCTGTACCACACACACAGAAAAGGAGATGAATATATTCATGTTCTAAAGAATTTTTGGAAAGAGTTGAACTAGTATTGGAGAGTTCACTAGTTAAAGGTTTTCTCTTATAAAAGTGAGTAGTAATCACTTGGTCATCCTACTACCATCCTTTGGGTTAGGACACTACTTTTAACAATATATTAATATTTTCCTTTGCTACAGCTTCATCCTACCTGTTATATCTACTTTAGTCTTCACTTATTATTTCCTAAAAACCAAAATTAAAAATTAAAAAATAAGAAATTAGGAGGATTATGATTGACTTACAAGTAGAGCACCATTCTCAATCTAGATTTTTGTTTTTTTGAGACAGTGTCTTATTATGTAGTTCAGGGTGGCCTTGAACTCATTATGTAGTCCACACTGACCTCAGAGTCAGGGTCATCTTCCTGCCTCATCCTCCCAAGTGCTGACATTACAATTGTGTGCCCCCATACCTGGCTCAATCCAGATCTTTAAAATGTTAGTATGTGTATTGCTAGGGCTTCCAGTGGTAAGACATGGGAAGGACCCACATGGAGTGTTATCCTCGGAGGCAGCATAGGTAATTATTGTGTTGAACAAGAGATAATAGGTGTTATTCCTGATGGTATAAGTAAACAGGGCAAAGAAACCTCTGTATCTGGTAGAGAGTATCTTAGTCTAGTTTTGAAGAATTTTGTGAAGCCGTTTTAATTCCTGAGTGTTCATGTCCAGGTGGATGAATATCACTCAGTGCATCAGAAGCTCAGTGCTGACATGGCTGATGATTCTAACCTGATCCGAAGTTTGCTGGTCCAAGCTGAGGATGCTCGTCTGATGAGGGACATGTGAGTAGGAACTCTCAGGAGGAATCTAAATTGGTACAGCGACTTTGGAAAAATAACATGGCATCATCAGTGAAGCTGAAAATGTGTATACCCTGTGACCCAGCAGTTGTGCTCCTAACAAGCATATAGTTTAGAGTACACTTGTAAACCAGGGTATTTGGACAAGAGTCTGCATAAAGGAGCTGGGAATGTAATTCATTGCTTCTCTAGAATTCATGAGGCTCTGGGTTTAATACTCAGTACTGAAAAATATTTATAAAGGCATTGCTTATAAGGATTCTGTATTAGGGGCTTGGGATTTAGCTCAGTGGCATAAGCGCCTGCCTTGCAAGCAGGCAGTCGTGAGTTCGATCCCTGGTACCAATAAAAAAACGAGAAAAAAAAAGAATTCTGTATTAGTTTTCCATCCAAACAATAAAATACATAAGGACAGTTTTGGAGGCTCAGAGTTCAAATAGCATGGTACTAGCTCTGGTGCAGCTCCCTGGCTACATCACCTAAGGGCTGATGGCATCATCCCAGGAGCATGTGAAGAGTGAGAGATCACAGGGAGCAAGAGAGCAGGAAGGAGCCAGTCTTATTCTTTATAACAGTCCTCTGGAGAAACTCACTGGGTGCCATGAGAACCACCTTAATCCATTCTGAGGGCAGGGCCTCTAGTGACCTCGTGACCTTGTACTAGGGTCCTACCTCTTAAGGGTTCTACCTCTTTAACATGGTCACATTGGGACCAAGATTCCAACATACAAACCTTTGGGATGGGGGACACTTAAACTGTATCCAAATCATAGCAAATCCCAAAGTGGAAGTGATTGGAACTAATGTGCAGGTACAGTGGGTAAATACACTATATTTGTCCAGTGGAGCAGACAGTGCGTTCGTCTCCATGACACATGACAGTGTGGACAAATCTTAAAAACAGTGGCAACTGACTGAAGACTCAGTGAAGATGTGTAGTATGCTCCTACTTACATAGTCTGAAGAAAGGCAAAACCAAACTCTGTTCCTTGGGAAGCATGTATCAATGATAAAACTGTACATAGAGGGGCATGGCTCAGAGGGAGGGCACTTGACTCACGGTGTGTTGCAAGGCCTCTGAGTTAGATTTTTAACACTGCAAAAAAAAAAAAAATGTAATGCTATGGTTTAGACCTAAAACATTCCCAGAGGCCGCCTGTATTTAGCGGTGGGGCTTTTGGGAAGAGATTGGCTCATGGGGGCCCAGTACAAATCAGTGGATGCATGCACTGAAATGTGCTGCTAGGAGGGCTAAGGTTAGGAACCTTGTCAGGAAGTAAGGCCTGCCTAGAGATGTGTCACTGAGGAGGACCTGGAAGGGTACATTCTTGTTCCCAGCTCCTCGTTTCCCTACTTCCTGCCGGCTGGGAGTTGAGCAGCTTTTCTCCACCACACGTTTCCACAGGGCTGTTTCTGCCTTGGATCCAGCCAATAACAGCCTGAACCAATGGAAAACTGTGAGCCAATTAAACCTCTCCTAATTTTATATTATGCTACTTAACTAAATCACTGTTTTTCAGATGTTGTCTTACTCACTGTACTCATTTTTGAGACACAGTACTTGCCACCCACAACTTAAGGGGTTTATTTTGGCTGATGTTTTCAGTCCATAATCAGCTAGCTCCAAGGCATGAAGGCATAGCAGAGGGGCATCATGGAGAAAAAGCTGCCATGTCATGGTGGCTAAGAAGCAGAGGAGCCCAGTGGCCCACCTCTCACCAGGTCCCCCCTCCTAACAGCAAGCCAGCTGTCATACCCCTATAATCCGATTACCTGGAAAAGCCCTGCCTCTGAGGGCAGAAGGCTTGAGGGACTTTCAGATAAAAACCGTGACACATAGGTACTTGAATCATCTGTAAATTGAAATAGACATTTCCTTCCTGTGCCAACTTTTGCTCCAGGTCTTCTAGTTTCTCTTTCTCTTTTAAATTAAAATGATATTGCTGGCTTTAGGAATTTGACCCTGAAGAACATGAAATGCCTAAGGAGGAAAGTGACCAGCAGCCTCTAAGTTCTTTCTTTTTGGAAATATGAGATTCTAATGCATATATTTTATTTTGCCAATTTAGTTCACATGTAATATAGACACAATTCATCCTTTTTTAGGTTTACTATTCAATACATTTGGAGAAACTTACCTGTTATTGCAGCCAAGACTTAGAACGCTTTTATCACATTTGTGCTTTCAGTTCTGCAAATCTCCTGGGACTGCATTCTTCCCCTGTAGTTTTATGTTTTCCAGAATGTCACATAAAGGGAGTCATATATAGGCTTTGAGCCTGGCTTCTATAACCTACCACAAAGCCTTTGAGGCTCACTTGTGTTGTTGCATATACTGCATCAGTAGACTATTTTTAAAAATTGCTGAATAATATTCCACTTATATATGAGCAGTAATTTGTTTACTGTCTCATCATATGATGGACATTTGGGCAGGTTCAGGACTTTAATGATTATGGATAAAGCTTCTGTATATACTTAATTCAGGTTTATTGCAAACATGTATTTTCATATCTCTTGAGATTGGATTGCAATGTAGCAAGTGCTGAATAAGTTACCAAAATATATTATTTTGTGCTCTTGTCAGCAGTGTATGATAGTTCTAGTTGTTCTACATTGTTGCCAGCTTTATTTTCAGTTTTAAAAAACTTAATCATTTTTATTATTGGGTAATAATATTTCATTGTGGTTTTATCTTATTCTTTTAAAAAAGTTTGATAGGGGCAGGGGATTTAGCTCAGCGGCATAAGTGCCTGCCTTGCAAGCCTGTGGTTGTGAGTTCGATCCCCAGTACCGATTAAAAAAAAATAGCTTGATAAAAAAATGAAGTTAACTGTGTTGTCTAGTTACATTTATTAAGAACAGGTCAGTTTTATCTAATGAATATTAACCTGAAACTCAAAAGGCAGTCTTAGCACTTTGCACACTTTTCCTTACCCTCTACACAGTAGGCTTGCCATTCTTAAGTTTTTAATGCCTAGCCAACTGAGGACCAATCACAAGAAAGATCAGTTGATTTCTACTTACTAAATAGGCTATTTTGATAGAAACTTATCAATGTTTTCAAAGAAAACTTCAGCAGTTACCCAATTTAATGAAAACAGAGCTACAAGTGCCTTCTTTAAAAAAAAAATGATGCTTAAGGAGTTTGCAAGTGTTTCGTAAGCCTGCCATATTAAGAAACAATGATATTAAATTTCTGTTGATTTACATAGGAAAACGATGAAGAATCGCTACATGGAACTCTATGATCTTAATAAAAACCTGCTAAATGGGTATAAAATTCGGTGTAGCAATCATACAGAGCTATTAGGAAACCTTAAAGCAGTAAATCAAGCGATTCAGAGGGCAGGTCATCTGCGTGGTAAGTCTCTTTTCAAGGCACTGTAATTTATCTGTAATTTTGGGGAAAGGGCCATTGAAGATGATGGTAACATTCCATAATTCATATTGGGGCCTAAACATTCCAAAGTTGGTCCCATCACTTGGGTTTCCATCAGTCAGCCTGCTGTTCAGCTTCCGTCTCCAGACTTCAAAGGGAAAGAAGCTTCTAGTGTGATGTGGTGCACGCCTATAGTCCCAGCACTCAGGAGCTGGAGACAGAACTGTGAGTCTGAGGCCAGTCTGTTTGGCATAGTGAGTTCAAGGCCAGCCTGCACTATTTTATATACTGAGATCATTTCAAAAAACAAAACCAAAAAGAGAAAAGAAACACCTTTCACTTTTTGTCTAAGATCTTGATGCATTTTCTAAGGAAAAATTTAGTGGTTATACAGCAAAGGAGTGTAGAACCTTAAAGTCCCCATTAGAATAAAAGACACAGCTGGGCATGCTGGCTCATGCCTGTAATCCCAGCACTCGGGAGGCTGAGGCAGGAAGATTGTTGCGAGTTCAAGACCAGCCTGGGCTACAAAGTGAGTTCAAGGCCAGCCTGACCCTGTCTCAAAGACAAAAAAAATAGAATAAAAGACAGACTAAAAATAATAGACAAACCAAAGGAAGCAAAAATGTTGTTAAACTGGTGTCTGATTTCTTTTATTTTTAGGTCAATGCTTTGATCTTTTTAGAAATAATCACTGCTAAATGCATGTAAGCTTGGATTGGTTTCTAGGTTTAAGTGTTCCCTAAATTTGTTTTATGATAAATTTCTTTACCAAATTACCTCTTTTAGGGAGTGGTAAGATAAATTAGTAAAATTTGCATGTTATTATTTTCTAACCTAGTTTTATGTTGTTTTAAAACTAGACACTAATTTGTAATTTAACTGTTTCTTTTTTTATTTTGTTTTGTTTTTTGAGACAGGTTCTTACTATGTAGTATAGGCTATTCAACTCATTATGTAGCCCAGGCTGGCCTCCAATTCACAGCGGTCCTCCTGCCTCAGCCTCCCAACTGCTAGTATAATTTTACTCTTGGTAGTCTTTTCTTGAGACATACTGACTTGATGTTTCTTTTCATACAGTTGGGAAACCAAAGAACCAGGTGATAACTGCTTGTCGGGATGCCATTCGAAGCAACAACATCAACACACTATTCAGAATTATGAGGGTGGGGACAGCTCCTTCATAGAAGAGTAAATAAGAAATCAAGTTCCTGGAAAATCTAGGCTCTTTTGCTCTGAATAATGTCCTGGTGAACCCAGAGTGCTCAAAACAACAAAACCTGGCAAACTGCACAAATTAAAGATAAAGCATTACATCTGAAAAATGAAACCACTTTCTGTTTTTTTATTTATATATGTAAATGTATAAATATCTTTTTCCTTGAAATTGTAACTGAATTAATAATTTTCAAATAGGCTATCTTTTTCATTAAAATTAAAAGGTACTTTGTTATTGACTGATTGTAAAAGCACTATTACAGCAGAATTGAATAAACCATTTGTATTTTGTAAAGAAAAACTAGTTATTTGTGTGCCTTCCTGCCACTGAAAGATGAATGTCTTAGTTACTTTTCTTGTTGCTGAGATGATATACCTGACACAAGTGAAAGGACGAAAGGTTTATTTTGGCTCCCAATTTGCGCAGAGATTTCATTCCATAGTTGGCTGACTCCAAGGCAGGGTGGTGTGGCAGCGGGGCACTGCACAGAAGCAGCCCACATTGTGGCTGGCAGAAGGCAGCAACAAGCAGCCTGCCTCCCTCTCTCCCTTGAGAGTCCATCTAGAATGCAAGCCTACTGATTGGTGCCACCCACAACCAGAGCAGGGCTTCCATGATACCCAGAACTGTGTTAAAGCCATTTAGTGGACTAACTTAGTACCAAACATCCTTAATCCTAGTAGTATATAATATTGGATGTAGCCAGCTCCAAAAAATGCCCCATCTATGAGTGTATGAGGTATTGGGGAGACATCTAGACACAGGCTGTAACTGAATACAAATAAATTTATAAAGAATCGGTTTAAAGTGATTGGTTAGTTGAGGTAGTATTAGCTGCTGTAACAGACCTCAAAATTCATGACTCACTTATTTTTCATTTACTATACATATAAACTTAAGGAAAAGGAGTTAGGTGACTATTTTCACATTCACGTCATACAATGGAGGCCTTCAGGCATTACCCTCCCTTCTCTCACCTAGAGCTCTGAGAGGGCCAGGCCTAGAATCTGGCAGTTATTTATATCCAAGCCAGTAGAAAAGGAGGAGTGAGACAGAAGCCAGCTTTGTTGCAAACTGTGGCCTGTAAACAGCACAGTATCATTCCCCTCCCATTGCTCTGGGTAACACGTCATCTTGCATGCTAGCAGTGCCTGCCCAGGAAGTAAAATTGTGCCCTAATGTAGATTTCACTAGTTTAATGTCTAAAACAAGTCGGTTTTTTTTTTTTTTTTTCTTTTTCACATTTTAAACAGCATTCAGAAGCAGCTAGGGGTGGAATGAGACCTTCTCTTTAAGGTGAAAAACTAGTGATTATATCAACTTGGCCACTTAAGATTCCTCTCTCCTATTATCTGACATGTAGGCTTTGTGGAGTCCTGCTGTAGTTTATAAGCTGGAGATACATACGTTATTTCCAACAATCCTGTAAATAATAAAGTATTATATCTGCTCAAAGATAAAGAAACTGAGGATCAGAAATAGCGTCAAAGAATTAGTGCCAAATTCAAGCTCAAGTGTTTTTTTTGTTGTTGTTTTTTTCCTGCTTTAACCATAGCCTAAAATAGGTTTGTGTGTGTTTGTAGCAAGTTTACAGGGGACTGCACTCAGGGTCTCATGCATGCTAGGCAAGCCCCCTACTATTGAGCTGTATTTTCAGCCCCAGTTCATACATTTTGAAATTGAAATCTTAGTGGGTGCTGATTTTAAATGACATGAGATACCATTTCTCTCTCATGAGCCCAATATAATCATCTTAGTGTAGGTACCTCCATTGTTCTTCTGCCAAAAAATTCCTTTAGACCCCAAAATATTTGTGTCAGTATTAGAATTTCCCTGCAGCAAGATATGTGTCAGCAGTCCTGAAGGATTATAAATACTTTCACATTAATTCGATCTTCTGGATATCAGTATATCTATTTCAGAGGTGAGCCCTTTTAGTTTATGAAGGCAGACTGTCTTGTACAGGATCCCAGAAACTAGGTACATTGTGGTGTAAAGGTTAGAAACCTAGTACTGTAGTCACGGCCCTTCTAGTTAGTTAAAACTGTTCGTAAGCAAGTAGACTAGGTGGGAAGAAAGTATTCATAGAACACAGCTACCCTTTTTTCCCTTCTTAGATGTCATGTTCAGCTTAGCAACCCTTAGAAATGAGTTATATCAGCTCCTGTGCAATTCTGTTGCCCTGTTTTAATATCCTCATATGCTCTCAGTGCTACTTGTAGCAGCTAATTTGTTGAATCTTGTTATTGAAGCTTTAGGTGAATACTCTAGCCTTCATTTCACAACTGATTTTGTGAAAACCTGATAGAAAACTTTGCATCCCCTAAACCACCACACATATACATACTCCCTAACCCAAATTCAGGTATGCAGTATTATGTTGTTTTATTTTATTTTTGTTTTTCAGAAAAACATCTTGCTATGTAGTTCAGGTTGCCTTGAACTCACCACATAGTCTAGGCTGGCCTTGAACTCATAGTGATCCTCCTGATACCACCTCCCTGGAGCTGGGATTACAGGCTGTCCCTGTCTGGTCCTTAATATTTTCTGCTTATACAACTCTTAATTCCTTTATTAGTAGAACAGGTTCTTCATTCTCACTGGTGCTGAGCCAAAGCTAAGCTGCTGCCCTCCGTGGACTCGTCTATCCTCAGCACTTCTGCCAGGAGCCTTAGAAACAGAAGACCTGCGTTCTTTACAACTATTATGTAACCCCACAAGTGTTGTAAAAAATGATTTCCAACATGGTTATTAATGCTTCAAATTTTATAATTAGCAATTACAAATTGGCCAGCTGCAGTCTTGTGATCACAGAACTAAATTATCTCCAATTTCACTTTGAAACTAAAGTACAGTATGACATCCACTGCCAACTTATTTTGCATTTTGCCATTCCCATCTGGCCCTGCCCACACTATGCTCCGGCTCCTGAGTCATCTTTTTATTTGTACAGTACAGAGCTGCTTTTCCTAAAAAAGATGCCACATGGATAGCTCCCAAGTAGCTTTTCTGCTGTCTGTGTGGTTGGATTTTTGTTCTGCAGAGGTCATCTGTTTTTGTAGGGATGTCCCATTCCTTGAAGGCTGCACAGCCTCCTCCCTGTGATGTAAGTATATGGTAGTGTTGGGGAAGTACTTAAGCCAGAAACCTGAAGAAATACTGGTCTAGGAGACATAGCGTGCCCTGTCCCCTGCATTTTTCTGTTATTCTGTAGGGAAGAAAACAGTGATGTTTCAAAGGTTTTGGGCAATGGAGAAGTAAGGTTCAAAACTTAACTTTCTTCTAGATTTCATTTTCCACAACCTGATATTAGATTACTTGTAGGGTTATCCTTTCTTCTTCCTATTAAAAAAATGTGAATTTGCTTTCTAAAAATGTACCATATTTCTATGATAGTTAACATATGAAGGGACTGTGACTTAATCACAGGAGGTAGATGATGCGCAACCCTATAAGGCTGCTGTCCTCTGATCAGATGCTAGAGCTCAAAGTCCACATGGCAGATGGGATATAAAACTGGGGAGAACAACTGGAACCCACAGCCATCATAGAGCCCAGGACGGTGAAACTTAGTTCTTGTGGACCTTGACCTTAGTGTGGGTGTCCTGCAGTGGCTGAAACCCTTCATCAGAGATGCTAAAGGAAGACCCAGGGGAAGGTGCAGGGCTCAAATCCTGATTCTTGGCAAGGCAAACAACAGTGTGTGTGAGGCATCAAACAGCATTGCTTCAATGGGCCCTTCAAATCTTGCACAAGTCTGTGGCTCATTCTAATTAGAAGTAAGAGAAGGGACTTCTGAAAAACATAAAAGCTGTTCTCTTTGGGGGTGGGGATGTGGGGACTTCCTTTGATAAAAGGAGCTGTAAGAATTCTGAAGGGCACTATTGAGAGAAACGCCATACCTTATACAGGCGAACATCACAGCATTTATCTGAAAAGTGTACATATTTTAATTCATTTGCCACTCAGCAGGTGTTGACATTGGTCTCAGGCACTAAATAGTAGTGAGGATCAAGAATGAAGTACAGCTGTAAGTTGAAGCAGCCCCATTTTTATGCAAATACTATCCAATGCTCTTACATGAATCTAGGTGGCACAGTCTACTGCACACCTAGGTCAGATGGTACAGTACATCCCATTTTTCTTTGGTTACAAAACCTGTATAGCTATAAACAATATTTTCTACATTTATTCAATAATAAATTAAGTTTTACTTATATGTAGCTTCATAAACTTTTGAAGCTTACTTTTTTGACTTACAATTAACACAGCTTAGAACACAATGTATAGTTATACAAAGATTTTTTAACTGTCATTTCCATATACTTCTATTTTAAAATGATTTGATTTTTTTAAACATTTTTGTTAAGACATAAATATACTAGCCTAGGACTATACAGGATCAAGATTATCAATCAGTATAAATCAATACTGTTTTATAACTAACATTACTACCTGTATAGAACTTTTTAATTTTAAAGAGGAAAAAACACAAAAAAGAAAAACAGCAGATATGCAAACTGCAAGAACAAAAAACCCAACACAATAACAATATAGTCTTTCAAAACAAGATGACAGGAATTTAACACTGGTTGTAATACTGCACATTGTTGTCCTCAAGAGTTGCTTAGATTACCAGATATATAGACATGCAAAAAAAAAATCTTTTTTTTTGGTACTGGGGATAGAACTCATGACTCATGCTTACTAGGCAGGCACTTATGCCACTGAGCTAAATCCCCAGCCCTAGACATGCAAAATTGATCTAATAATATGAGTATTCCCTGTTCTTTTCCAGAAACTAATAGAATTAGTATAATCATCTTAGCTATTTTATGTATATATAACCAAATTTATATCTTTTTCCTTTTCCTTTCCCCTATCCCAGTTATTTTTCTCCTGGAAAGTTTCTTACCCTTTCACAATATCTACTGAAGATTCTGGATCTTATTTACTCTTTCAGTTTCTTACATGAGGGAGCCAATATGGTATTTACATATGTGAGTGATTTATTTCACTTATGAGTATGGTCTCAAGTCTCATCCACTTACCTATAAAAGCCTCAATGTGATCTTTCCTTATAGCTGAGTAGTACTCCATTGTATAAAAATACCGTATCTTTTTTTTTTTTTGTCTTTTTCCTTTTTATCAGTACCAGGGATCAAACTCACGACTGCCTGCTTGCAAGGCAGGCGCTTATGCCACTGAGCTAAATCCCCAGCCCCAAAAATACTATTATCTTTTTTATCCATTCCTCAGTTGATGGGCATTTGGGTTGTTTCCAAGATTTAGCTATTACAAATTGTGCTATTAATATGAATATCACTGTGGTATGATGTTTTCAGTTCTTCTGAGAAAATACCAAAGCGATATAGCTGGATCAAATGGGACCTCTAATTCTAGCTTTCTGAGGAATCTCCACACTCACTTCCACAGTGGTTGCCCAGCCTACACTGCCACCAACAGTGGAGAAGTGTTCCTTTTTCCCACAGCCCCTCCAGCATTGGTTATTGGTTGATTTCTTGATGATAACCATTCTTTCTGGAGTGAGATGCAATCTCAGCATTGTTTTAATTTGCATTTCTCTAGTCAATTATGCTCAACATTTTTTTCATATATTTATTTACCATTTGTATTTCTTCATCTGAGAAATATGTATTCATCTCAGATGCCCATTTTTGGATTGGGTCCTTGAATTCTGGAGGCCTGATATTTTTTAATTCTTTATCTGTTCTAGTCTTTTGTCTGAGGGACAGTTGGTTATGATTTTTTTCCCCAATTCGTGGGTTTTCTTTTCACTCTGGAGATTTTTTTTTTTAAACAAAGCTACTGTGATAAAATCAGCATGGTACTGGTAAAAAAATAGACCTGAAGATCAATGGAATAGATTAGAAGATAGAGCCACAACTACAAACACACTCAGCTACCTTATCTTCAACAAAGCAAACAAGTTCACTGGAGGAAAGACAGCCTCTTTAATAAGTGGTACTGGAAAAACTGGCTCTCCATATGCCAAAAACTAAAACTAGATCCATGTTCATCACCATGCACTAAATTAAAGTCAAAATGGATCAGAGATCCAAATATTAAAACAGAAACACTAAATCTACTTGAAGACAAAGTAGGTAGAAATCTTGAAGACATAGGAATAGGTAGAGTTTATGGCCAAAAATCAAACTGCATGGGAAATACTTCCCAGAAGTAAAAACTGGAATCTCATCTTATTAAAAGGTTTTTGCATGTCAAAAGAAATCTCCTGCATATATAAAAACTTAAGGGTATATATGTGAAACTGTGTTTTCTGGATTGGGATATATACTAAAATGTTTTCTAAAAAAATCAACCTGAAACACAAAATGAAACTCATTCTCTTAAAACTCAGGGACAAGTTTTAAGAGATGAAAGACAAAAGTGATTGAGATGTTTAAAGGACCAATGTTTTTCCTATTAAATAGTAATAAATAACCTGTACTAAAAACTACTGGGGGTGGGGGTGGACCAGGGATACAGCTCAGTGGTATGGCACCTGCCTGGCAAATACAAGGTCTTAAGTTTGATTCCCAGCACCAAAACCAAAAAACAAACAAATAAAAAAACTGTGGAACATCAAGAAACACACACACACACACACACACACACACACACACACACACAGAGGAAAGGAAGCAAAGAGGCAAGCTGCAGAGGATAGAGTCAGAACATCATCATTATGTACCCATAGGCCCTCACACACATAACCAGGATCAGTTAAGACAGAGCTCTGCAAAACAATTTGAAGGGAAAAGAATGTAACAGAGATGCTGACAGCCTGTTACATTTTGTTGTGGCTCTTTAGCACTGGGTCTTGTAAAGGAAAAAAGGCAACTAGCTCTATAGTTAGAGCTGCAGCATTTAGGAAAATGAAAGCCATGTGTGAGGCTGTACTTGGAAGCCACAGTTCCAGGTAGAAAGGCAGAGGTGGCTGGAAATGACTGTGGAGAGCAAAGAGCAACCTGTCCTCTTTACCTGAAGTTTCTTGAAGCCATGTGGTTTCAGCCACACCTTTTCCAGGGAGTAACTCCACACAACTAAGTCTAGCACGTCCCAGGAGTGGCACACTGAAATGCAGCCCACATGCAGTGGAAGAGGGTCAGATGTCTAAGGCCCACCATGAACCAGATTAAGATTTTGTAACTGTCCACACCAGTGTGACTGGGAAGAACAGACTCCGGAAAAAAAGGAAACATGAATTAGGAACACTAATGAACCTTGGGGACTTTATGTAAAGTGAAATAAGCCAGTCACAAAATACAATAATGTATACAAATACTATGATTCCATTGATGAGGAAGATGAGTAGTCAACAGAGACTGAAAGGAGCAAGGTTGGGGACAGGGACAAGAGATTGTGGGGAACTATTATACAGAGTTTTAGTTATGGAAAATCGAAGAAGTGTAGGATATTGGTGATGGCTGTACACTGTGAATGTACTCAGTACCACTGAAGTGTATGTTTAAAAATGGTTAATCTGCTAAATTTTATCTTACAACAGTACAAATAATGCAATTATCTTGCAGTTAGAAAGAAAATGGTTGAGGCAGTCAATATGCAAAATGAAGAACTCAATGTTCAAAATAAATAAATAAAAATCTTTTTCAAAACCAAGGGCTGGGGATGTAGCTCAGTAGAGCATACATGAAGCCTGGCTTCAATCCCAAGACTGGGAAAAAAGAAAATCAAGAGATGAACACATAGCTCTAAGCTCAAGGTGTAGGCTGAGGTCAATCATGAATCTGATTAATGGACAAGCATTTTAAGAACACTGTCCGAGAGCTCACCATATAACTCTCCTGTTCTCCTTGCTCTTCAGACTCCCTTGTATCAAAGGGTGTCTTTTGTGCAGCTTTGCCCTGTCCTGTTATTCATAGTAGACGAATGAGAAGTCCCAGAAACCAGTTCTGTTTGGGAAAGTTTTCTTCTGTTCTAGGCTTCGATGGTTAATATGCTTGACAAACTTCAGAGTCTCTCTATCTCTGTAGACCAACGCCAAAGAATTGTTTTCTGGATTCACTATTAGCAGCTGGAAAAGGCAAATGCAACGACACATCACAACACAGAGCTCATTCTCAATTCTTCAATAATTTACTATGAAACAGTTTCTGTAGCAAGCATCCGAGATGGGGATCGGGGTCCTTTGAAAGAGGCTTCATTAGTAAATAATGGCTTTCTTTCCAACAAGCTCCATTCTATTAGAAAATAACCAGAAAGGTATGCATGTATTTCTAATGACATTAAAAGATATCGGGGAAAATCCTCTTAATTTGCAATTTCTCAGTAAAGCAGAATAAATGCTTAATTATTCTTTAGCATCTTTATTTTGTACTGAGTATTTTCTTGTAGAAATTAAAGCCACTGCCAGGCATTATGACATGGACTAATAAGCTAAAGACACTGGTTGAGGTCACAGAAACTGATCTCTAAAGACTGAAAGTGTTCTCATGAACTAAAATGAAGTGTTTGTATAAGAAGCACCTTACCTCTTCATCTTCGCCTTTGGCAATATAGGAAGTAAAGCCACCATATTCCGGCTCCCAGCCTACCAAAAGAAAAACAAAAACAAAAATAACATTCAAGAGCGCTCTTGCCACAAGAGTTACACCACCCACAGAAAACTGAGGGTTCTGGAATTCAGCAGTTACCAGCTTTATGACTCGTGAGTTTACCATCTGTCATCATACAGTCCCTTTACCCGAAAGGCCTACTTTCCCACAGGTGAACTGGAATGCAATCTTACTTCAATTGATGCTGAATAAGCAAACTGAGATTTAAATTTTAAATATACTCAGAAAGGCAATTACATGAAATCTATAGGTGGGAGAAGGGTCTGGGGGAGAATTATGGTTCAGTCTGTCTCCCATTCCTAAACCGGATTCTCCTTTGAATTAGGAGACTGAGATTCATGATACTCAACATCCAGTAGAACTGGGAGATCCTGCTGACAGGAAATCCTGGCTACAGAGTATCATTTTTGAGTTGGTTTAGCTGGAGAGGATCACTTAGGAGAGACTGGTCCTCTACGCAAACAGTTCACTGCCTTTTGTCCCTCGTACCTTCACAGCCACAATAAAGAACCAAGTCCAAGGCAAATTCAGTCTGGCTGTTGTCATGGATTAAAGTGTAGTGACCAATCTTCCAATGCCTCAGCTCCCCCTGGCAGGTGGGAACACTTGACTCTAAGAAAAAACAACAAAAGAAAGGCCAAAAAGTTTGACAGATAACTAATACAAACACTAGAGAATGAAGAAATGGTATTTAGCGAGGACACAGCACTAAGGCGAAACTGTTATTGTAAATGTTTAGCTTCTACCGTCCAGTCTTATAAATGTTTGTCAGAAGTTACCAGGTCTACTTGAGAGGAAAGAAAAGTTAAATTTCAATTTTTCTGTAATAAATTTTAAGTTTAGAATTACCCTCAAATAAATAAAATAAATTTTAAAAACATGAGTATGATTAAATTTTGAAGGGAAGCGATTTCTCAACATGTCACCACCAAAAGGAGAAGCCATGAAAAGCAAATAAAGATCTATTTACTATAGCGTTCTTTAAAGTTTATGGGGGGGGATGCTTGCCTGGCATGCATGAAACCTTGGGTTGACCCCTAGCACCCCTATTAAACGAAAAGCTTTAATGTTAAATAAAATTATAAAGCAGACTATTAAAACACATAGGACAGAGGGTTAATAATGCTATAAATAACATTTGTTACAACAGGTAAGAAAATGACAAGAAGGCCAAATGAAAGAAATTTAAATACCCAATAAATATAAGGGAAATTTATAACCATACACTATTAATCAATGAATGACATCTTTATCCACAGAATAAGCAGAGTTAGAAAAGAAAATGCAATAATAATTAGCTTGCCAGAAAGAAAGACAGTCTCATATAGAATGCTGGTGAGAAGGCAGATGGAAACAAGTTTTAGGGAAGCCAATTTGACAATTGCTTTAATTCTGAGCAATCTATAGGAATGATGGTGTACACCTATAATCCTAGCACTTTAGGAGGCTGAGACAAGAGGATCACAAGTTTGAACCCACACATTGTGCAATTTAGTGACTTTGCAATAACTTTTTTTCAAAATAAAATTCCTGGTAAACAAGCCAAAAAAAAAAAAAGCGTTTTTTTTTGTTTTTGTTTTTGGTATCAGGAATCAAACTCAGGACCTCACGGTTGCCAGGCAAGCGCTTATGCTGCTGAGCTAAATCCCCGGTCCAACCATGCTGCTTTTAATGCTGCACTTTGCCTTCTCCTAGCAAAGTACTAGCCGGGCTGGAACCAGCCTAGCCTCTGTGGTCAGCCCCATTAATAACTGCAATTCTAAGAAACTGTTCTAAGAAACGACGGTGGAGAACTGGAAAGAACTCAACACATTCCATGGGGCTGGTTACAGTCATCTGATGAGATATTTTACAGTTAATAAAACTTAACAGAATAGTGGCTTTTAAAACTCTTAGTCTTAAAATGAAATACAATGACAAAAATACAACACTGGACAGCAACCAGAGGAATATAAAGCTGCTTTGGCTGGGAGAGGGAAGAGATTCCTACAGTATGTGGATATGTTAGTATAAAGGATGCAAGATGTTTGTGAGATGTTAAGTGACAAAAGATGACAGAAAAATATATAAGGCCTAGTTCCATTATAAGTATGTGTATATATGGTTTCTAGATCATTTGCTTACCTGTTCAGCCATTCCTTATCATGTAACCTTATTACAATGTCATGTACATTTTCTAGTTGTTTTGTGTGCACATTTAATCTATGTTCTTTCCTACTAGAGTGTAAGCTCCAGGAAAGCAACAATCTTCTATGTTTTGCTCCCCAACTCCTGAATTATGGGACTTAATACAATAGTAGATACTCAAGAAATGTTTCTTGAATGAATAACTATACAGTAAATGGTTAACGGTAAATAAGAACAAATCCTAACACCAGCTTACTTTTTTTTGCTGCTTTTTCCTCTGGTGCTGAGTCTCTCTGTTCATTGCTTTGCTGGCTGCTGTTATTGGTGGCTGCCTGATTATTCTCTGTGGAGCTATGGCTAGTCCCCTCTTCAGTGCTACCAGTCGTATAGGCTGCTTCTTCCTCTGTCTTGTCTTTGATCTCATCTTCTTCTGAAGGGGCCAAGAAGTGAAGCTTCAGGCCTGTGAAATTGGAAAGCAGCAAGAACAGTGCCTCCGAGCGAAATAACTCCATGCAGTCCTTCAGTATATCAGGGAGCCGACTCTCCTCAGCTTTCTCATAAAACCTGAAAAACAGCAACGCCAGGTTCATCAAGCCCTACAAGGAAGATTACTCATGGGATACAGATCGTTAGCTTCGACCCGCCTCCCAAATCTTCACACAGCCTCCTAAAGCAGTTTATCACAATGGTGAGACTTGGTAGGACCTGCAACTGGGTCCTCCTTGTACCAAAACCTTACGGCTGATGCCCAATTATTGGAGGTACGCTGTGCAGACAAAAATGGGGATCCTGAATGCAGGGGTAGATGTCTTGGATGATGAGCTCTACCTTTTGTCAGGGGGACCACGGCTATTCCATTCCACATCTCCTTTCTCCAATGCCTCACAGACTTTTTCGAACTTGTCAGGCTGGAAAATAAGCAAATAAACGAGCAGTAACTCTTAGTAACTCTTCTTACAGTCTCACCCTGGTCTGGCAGCTGTAGCAGCTTTGCAAAACTTCAGTCTGATTCCTGAAAGGTGCATGTACTGCGCACCTCTTTCACATAAGATCATCTACTATAAAGTCAGGGCACAGATTGGATACACTTGTCATTTTGCTTTAGCTAAGAGACCTGAATGTCAGTGTCAGCACTCCTTTAGATCTAATACAGACCTTTTAATGCATAGGGTATTGTAAGGAAGAAAAAAAAAACTGCACTGCAGTGTGATTATGAGAAAAATCCTTCTATAATAAAGCAGATTCTCTTCGACCTCATTTAACGAATATTCTAAAATCAAGTTGAATATCAATATAAAGTTGGTTAATTTTAAACATTACCCACAAGAGAATCCACATTTATTTATTTAATACAGTTTTCCAGGGAGTATTAGCAGCTCCTATTAGCTGTAAACACATGCAAGAGGAAACATCTCATAGCATGATTTAGTCAGCATAATTAAAACAAGTTTATTTAGTGCAACATTTCTCAACTTCTGTAATATGCTATATGTCAGCTACAAAAATAGGAATGACTCTTGGGAATATGATTCCACTGGACCAATAGCCATCTGTAAACACCAGTTATCTCATGTAGTCCTCACAAAGCTTTGCAAAAAAAGAAGGCAGGTATCACCCTAATATACAGGATGAAAAAATAAATACCCAGAGAAACGCAGTGATTTACTCAGATTAGTAAAACCAGAGAGCCAGGATATGCATATAGGTCTTCTGATTTCAGATGTCTTTCCAACATAAGAAATTGCCTCAGCACTGCCAAACATTCATTAACAGATGTTGACTGCTGGGTGCAGTGGTGCATGTCTTAATCTCAGCTACTCTAGAGGCAGAGGCAGGAGATTTGCAAGTCTGAGCAACTCATTAAGTCTCTGTCTCAAAATACAAAGAGCTGGGGATGCAGCTCAGTGCTAGAGCAATTGTCTACTATGGTTGATGTAATTGTTGTACTGTAAAAAAATAAAAATTAAAAATTAAAAAAATTGATGTTGCTAAACTATAATTAATAGTATCTATTGCTAAAAATAAAAATATGCACCATACCCTCAAAGGAACAGAAAAGGAACTAGGAACAACTCCCTCTCAGGGTGGAAATTTTTATGTGCCTGTGTGCACTGTCTGATAAGGTTCTAGAAAAGTTGGGTGGAATGGCTTGTCATGACCCATAATCCCAGCTAATAGTAGAGCTGAAGCAAGAGGATCACAAGTTCAAGGCCAGTCTGGACATCCTAGCAAGATTCTGCCTCAGAATAAAATTTAAAGAAGAGCTTAAGATGTAACTCTGTAGTAGATGGCTTGCCAGCCTGTGCAAGGCTCTAGATTCAAATCCCTGGTACCACAAAAACGAAAATAGTTCCAGATTAATGAGAATACCCAAGAGATTATTAATCTACTAAACATACAACTAATGCCAGTGTGTACTATTATTATTTCTGTATTTTATTTGAGAAGAATGATATAAATATTAGAGCCAGGAAGAAAAAAAAAAACCAAAAACAAAACTCTCTTAGTGATGTTTAGTCACCCTATTCAAGAAGTAAGACTGCCTGCCAAATAAGACACGCTGACCAACCTTAAGAAATTCTTTCAGGAGAATTTCAGACCTTTCTTCAAACTCTTCTTGAATTTGAGCTTGATATTCCATGTCCAGATAAGAAGGGTTGATCCATTCATTCAAAATTTCATGCTTACAAAGAAGCAACAGATATATGAGAGTTAGTAATAATTTCTACAGCTTTTGTTCTTACATCATTTCACACTACTAAAATACACGTACATCTTCCACTGTGTACATTTCTCCTATTAAGCATAAAGTACTGAAAAAACTGCCTGAGAACCACAAAATCACAAGTTTATCTAAGAAAAATGGAAAATGTAAACTCAAAGTCTAGTTTCTCTATCAGGAAGACCTAATTTTAAAAGCAGAACATGAAGAGCCGGGCATGGTGGCTCATGCCTGTAATCCCAGCACTTGGGAGGCTGAGGTGGGAGGATTGTTGCGAGTTCAAGACCAGCCTGGGCTACAAAGTGAGCTCAAGGCCAACCTGAACTGCATAGTGAGACCCTGTCTCAAAAAAAAAAAAAAAAAATCAGAACACGAAATGCTGTAACTCCTAAACTAAGAATCCCTATAACTTATCCTTACATCTTTTGGGATGTGAGGGTACCGAGGTACGAGGGGTTCAAGGTAGGTGGGAGGCCTGGTCAGTGAAGGACCATGAAACCAGCCACTGATAGACAGACGTGACTTTTCTTCAGAAAGGACTTCAGACACCTGAAAGGAGAGCAGCAGAACATCAACACAAGGGATGAGAAGAAAGGATTCTAGTCAAGGCACATTAATCTGAGGATACTTCACAGTAGGTATGAAAGCAATCTGATCAGTTAACAAGCCCAACAGGAAACTCACACATTTAGAAAATGGGCGACTAAAGCGTACTTGTATACTGTTATATTTGTAACTTACAGTCTTTACCTGGTGAAAGGAAACTGGAGACACTTCAAAGAAAACCAGTGTGTTCCACGAAGGGACAAGAGACTTGACAATCTGCTTTGGCTGAAAGTGTTCTGTACCAGGAGAGAACACATCCATAAACATGGTTTAGTATCATTAACCACTTCTAGGCCACGTCATTTCATTCTTGACAACTCAAATTTCTGAGGTTATGTGGAAGTACCCTTCAGATTCTAAAAAAAAAACCTCCTTTCCATGTGTTTCGTTCACACTTGCTCATTCTGTTAGGTGCATTCTTACTGCATCATCCATTTATAATTGATAAGGGCTGAAGCAAGTTCTGAAAGTTTCCTGGTGTCAACCTGTGGTGTTGCTCATTTAAAAAACTCTTCCTGTCAAACAGACTGATCCTGTCAGATTCATAGCCACAGGCATCTCTGAGTGCTTTCTACCCTCCCGCAGTCAGTACTAAGAAGCAGGGTCTATTTCTTATCTTAAATTGATTTTAATTTTATCTCTGGAGTAATGATTATTTTCAGTATAACTTCAATAGGTGGTTGTCATGGCTGGCATCCCTCCTGAGGTAGCCCCTATAACAAGTGGCTTTCATCGCCTTGAGTCAACTTAGTTTTAATTCAGGAATAATCACTGGTGGTGATGAGCATGTGTCTATCTTACCATCAATGCTGAACAGGTCCAGTGTGCCTCCCAAACTCCTGTCCCAGGGAGGAACTAGATACAGAATGAAGGCCACCCGGCGCCCTTCCAGCTCATCATCATGGCAGAGCAGGGCATCTGCAAAAATTGTTAATGCACATCTTAGATCCCTACATAGACAACGAGCACCTGCCATCTGACTGTACTTTTGATGTCAGTCCACTTGATACTCATCTGTAGAGGCAGCTACAGCCTTAAATGTCTCTTTGCTTTAAGAATGACACATTTGTTTGCCAGGCATGGTGGCATATGCTTGTAATCCCAGCTCTCTGGGAGGCTGAGGAGGATGCCATGTTCAAATCCAGCCTGGGAAACTTAGTCAGTGACTGTAACCCTGTCTCAAAATAATAAAACCAAACCAAACCAAAACAAACAAACCACAGAGCTAGGAGTATACTCAGGTTCTGGGTTCAATTCCAAATACTAGGCAAAAAAAAAAAAAAAGACACGTGTTCTACTCTTTAAATACAGAATACAACTCAGTCAATATAAAAAAACTAAACAGTAAAGGGTATACCATACATACAGATAAATCTACATATCATCACTAATATTTTTACATATATTTTACCTACAGAAGTATATTCACTTTTTGAAAGAAGTGTCCTTAATGTGGTTACTTTGGCTTGCCTTTCTTATTACATGCCAAATGCTCTTCCGTATCAATATACACATTTAACATCACTTTTAGTGTCAAAAGTTATTCCACTACATAAATAGAAATTTACATTCCTCCTTCTTTAATTGGTGCCCTACTTCTTTTCTTTCTTTTTTTTTTTTGGTACCGGGGATTGAACTCACAACCTCACACTTGCCAGGTAGGCACTTGTACTACTGAGCTAAACCTCAATCCTCTGGTGCCCTATTTCTAATTAAGTCGTTTGGGGCTATTACAAAGAATGTTTTAATGAATATTATTATATACGGATCTGAATTTATTCCTATTAACTGCTTAAATTAAATTTCTACAGCCCTTTGGTAGGGCTGAATGAGGGAGGTTTGAGTAGGCATCTCGGGGGGTTAAAAAGAGAAGGCCATAGTGGATTGAGACCATTTACACACAGGGGATTTTGTCAATAAAAAACACACTGAAGGTAATGGGATTCTGCTTTATCATTGTTGAAGAAGGAAAAGAAGAAATATGGAAAAGGAGAAATCTGTAACAAACCTTGTGCTGTTTTTATTTTTTTGAGTTGGGGTCTCACTTTGCCATGCAGTCTGGCCTGGAACTCTCTATGTAGCCCAGGCTAACCCCAAACTGTAGTAACCCTCCTGCCTCTGCTTCCTGAGTGCTAGGATTATAGGTGTGTACTTCCATACCCCTCTGTGCTGTTTATATAATTGGAACTGGAGGAATCAATGTGAATTCAATTTCCTAGAACTACATAAATATTCAGAGGTATAGCAATACATACAAATACATGGTATGAATCCATTGTATATATGTATATTTTTACATGTATTGTAGTGAAAGAGCCTGGGGGCAGTGACACCCCAATGGCAAAGATATACAGAATCTAGATTTTGATCATTAAGTATCATTCTTTACTAAAAGGAACCAGAATTCTTGGGAAGAATGGCTGACTAGGTTATTCTTGGACTTTGGAAGGAAAATGTAAGTCTGAAAATTCTTTTTTTATAGAAAGAAACAAAAAAAATGATGGGGATATAGGCAAAATGATACAGATGTCAGTTTGAATGTGTGCTCCTTGATCAAATCTAGGACAATATAAGCATCAATATCATACTACTACTATAGTTGGGTGTGGTGGCACATACCTATAACCCCAGCTATTCAGGGGGGTTACATAGGAGGATGGCAAATTTAAGGTTAGCTTGGTAACTGAGTGAGACCCTGTCTCAACATGAAATTTTAAAGAAGGCTGATTTAAAAAGTTCAGTGCTAGAACACTTGTTTAGGATGTACATGGTCCTGGGTTCAATATCCGGTACCAGGAAAAAACAAAAACCAAAAAACTCAAACCCAATAACAACAAAAAATCCCAAATAATCCATTACAGGAAGTGAAATCCACAAATCCATACCAATATGTGAGTGAATAATGTGGAATGAAATGACAACTAATAAATATATAAGAAATGACTGCATTATAAAATCACCATTTGGCAACTTTCAATGCAGTTACTCAGCAAGAGCCATCAGTGGATGGTAAAACAAATTAGAGTCTGATAAGAAATGGGATAATTACATAACCTTGACGTATCCCCCTACAGGGCTGGGGATTTATGTCAGCAGCATAAGCACCTGCCTGGCATGTGCAAGGTCATGAGTTCAATTTCCGTAACAACAACAAAAAAAAAGTATCTCCTTACAAAATACATAATGATGAAGGGAAAAAAGAATAGCAGACAAATCTGATGTTGGCCAACACTTTAAGTAACCAAAGTTAACATCATTAATAATATGACATACAGAAACTACTGTCTAGTAGGACATAGTAAAAATAACAGAATTTATTTTCCATGAAGACCCATGACTTAAACCTAATCATGAGGAAACATCAGACAAATCTAAATTGATTACAAAAGGACTACAAAGTAACTTGCCTGTAAACCCTCAGAAGCACCAATATCCTGGAAGTCCAGAAAGGACTGAAAAACTGCTGAAGGAGACAGACATGACAAGTAAATGTGCAACCCTGGAATGGATCATTTCGCTATTGAAACCAAGTATTAAATGTGAATGGGCCTTGTGGGCTAAATGGGAATAATGCATACATGCTAATTTTCTGATTTTGATGATTATTACTTTCAAGTAGGAGAATATAACTGCTACATAAATTTGTGAAGCAATCCAGTGTTAAGAAACATCATGATTGCAATTTACTTTTAGGTAAAATAGAAAACGGATTATTTGTGTTGGGCTTGCCACTTTTTTTGTAAGGTTGAAAATTACTTCAAATTAACAAAAACAAAGACATACAACATACTTTTCATATGTATCATTCAGTTATTTCCATGAAAGTTATCAACTTTAATTTCCCCAGAACAACAGATAAGTGGAAATCCAAATCAAAATTTAATTTATTTATATTGATTGAGATAGGGTCTCACCATGTAGTTCAGGTAGCCTTTGAATTCACTATGTAGCCTGGGGTGGTCTTGAACTTAGCAATTCTCCTGCTTCTCCCTCCAGGGTTTTGAGATTATAGTTGTGTGCCACCACATTCAGTCACAATTTCATTTTCCGACCTCAAATGCAAGGTTGGTATGTATGTGCATTTTTCTCAAAATATGGTCAATCATATTCCAAAGAGAATTACTGCCTTATCTCTTCCAATAAGGTGGTTAAGAATATGGGCTAGATCTTAAGCATGAAGCAACATTAAGGCTAGTGTTTTGGTACACAGATGCTACCTTCCATTATTGTGGAGTTATCTTACAGACAACTTTGTCTTCCTTACCAGTGAATTCATACTTAGCACAGGACATGTCAATGGTTGGTTCCAGGTCAATGTTAGAAATGTCAGAAAGCCAGGCCCGGAAATCTTCAAACAGTAGTTTCCTAGAAGTGTAAACAAAAGATGACTTGTTATGTCATAATATCGGCGCTCTCTGGATCGATGCTGCAACTGTTTCCCAGGAGGTCACATTTTATTCAAGAGATCATTCTCAGATTTCACTCAAAAGGTCCTGAGAAATGTTTTGCACTTTTAACTTACATAGTTTAAGACCAATAAATGTAAATCTCTAGGTATTGTAGCATATTTTTGCCCTATTTCATTTATTTTATTTTGTTCCTTCTAACCGTAAAGTATGTCCTACCACAGCATCACTTCACTTTGCTTTATCATTAACAACTTAGCATTGCTGCATTCCAAATGTGTTTTTGAGCAAGTACATGGAAAACTCAATTGTTTTTCTTTAAACCAAATATATGCTTTTTCCCCACACCGACTGCTCTGAAGCCAACTGGTTATCTTTCTTTTTTTGGTCTTTTTGAGACAGGGTTTCACTGTACAGTTCAAATTGGCCTTGAACTCCTGGTTAGCCTCCTACCTGAGCCTCCTGAGTGCTGGAATTACAGGCAAGAGCCACCACGCTTGGTTGCCAACTGGTGATTTGATAATTCAATTCAGTTTTGACACTATCTGCAAGAGGTTAGCATGTAAGGTATAATCCATTAGTGCTGCCCCTCACCTTCAGACAGTGATCTCATGTCCAGGTTAAGACTAACTATAAATCAGAGATTCCCACAAAACCCTCCTCAAGTCTGATCATCTGCTGGACAATTTACAATGTACATGGAACAGCCAAAAGGAAGAGATTCAGAAAAGCATAGTATCTTTCCAAGTACCTCTAACTTTTTTCAGCAAACTGAATTATCCTTGGTGCGGGATTTTCATGGAGGCTTCATTATGCAGGAATGACTGATTAAACAAACCACTCAGTATTGGTGATTAACCCAATCAACTGCCAGCTTCTCTTTTCCTTCAAAGATTAAAGTAGTGGGGCTGAATGTTTCAACCCTCTCATCACATGGTTAGCATCCCTGGATACCAATTCCACACCCCAAATCTTTAGGGCTTTCCAAAATCATCACATTAAGATAAACTCAGGTATAGTTCAAAAAGGGTTAGGGCCAGGGATTTAGCTCAGTGGCGTAAGTGCCTGCCTGGCAAGCATGAGATAGTGAGTTCGATCCCGGTACCCAGAAAAAAAAAAAAAAAAAAGGTTTAACCAAAGATGCTTCATTTATCTTTATTAATCTTATATTGCAAAGGTTTTAAGAGCTTGTTGCCAGGAATGGGGACTAAGACTAAACATATTTCCCATTATAAATTGCAATATCAGAAGCACTTTCCTAGTACCACCCTTCAATGAACACTGAATGATACTGCTGCAGAAGATCATAAAGACTTTAAACTGTATAGTAATCAGTAAATCCTTCATAGAAGTTCTGGTGCTAACAAGATACCACGAAAAATATGGTGAATATTTCCATATGGTGAATATTTCCATTTATTAGCTAAACTCTCTGTGTAGAAATCTTTTTAACACAATTCATTCAAAGAACTTTAAAATTAACTTTCATAAATTACAAAAATTTTAAAAGATTACATTAATTTAAATCATGTGCATCATATGTAAACACTGTATTGTCTCACTAATGTCAGAAGCTGACAGTAACAACATATGTATGTGTGAAATAGTTACGATAGCTATGCTACTGATTTCTCGGAGTTCAATGAAGAGAAGGATTTGTGCTGGTATTGTTTGGACAATTGAAAGCAGCTGTCTTGTACTCTGGGTGATTGATTTGGGGTAACAATGTGCAATGTATGTATCATTGTCCTGATTGATGGTTTTGAAATTTTAGGTTTTTTTCTTTTTTTCCTTGGAATAAAATGGATTTGACCAAAAAAAAAAAAAAAAAAAAAAAAAATCACAGGCATAAATGTATCTGATTAGTATTTTTTGATTGTCCTGGTCCAAAAGCACATAATTGCAATTCACCGGTCAAGGATATAGCTCAGGAGCAAGGTGCCTGCCCAGCAAAGTGCAAGGTCATGAGTTAATCCTTAGTACCAAAATAAATAAATATTAAAATTAAAACAAAGAAAAGGAAAGGAAAGAAATTCCCCCAAATGCAAATTTAGTGTTCATATCTAACTATCATGTCTCCACATAGATCTGTAAGGTTTCATTATCAAATTTTTTTATATTATGGTATATACCACTCAAAATATTCCATAAAATACTATGAAGTGTTCTATAACTTTCAAAGGCAAAGCTACAAGTTATTTAGAATGGACCAAGGTAGAAAGCTACTTCAGACAATATGGGTGGATAAAACATTTCTGCAAAATTGTGGTATTTTAAACAACTAATATCATCAAACCCTCTTACTAGTAGCATTAATCTCCACCAATTTGTTTCATAAAAGGTTCTTCTTTCCTTACTATGAATGTGTCAGGAGCAGGTTTGTTTTCTGACATCATTACCACTTTTTAATTTCATTCATGAGAGAATTCTCATGGGAACCCAAATGGGAGATACAAATACAAAGACTGGCTTTCTGTAATGACCAAAAGAATTGTGGCTCTCACACTAGCTGGCTGTGGCCCTTTGGGTATGGAATGTAACTCAGTTCCAGATGAAATGATTATCAGAGGCTGTTGTGAACTGAAGAGATAATGCCTTAAAGTGAGACTATATCTCTTCTAAGGGAAAAGTCTAAATAAATTTGAAATTTTCGTTACAATTAACATAGAAACAGTACTTCAGGATTTAGAAAAAGTAACAACTTGTGCAGGCTGCTTGCACATATATAATCTCAGAGCTAAAAGACAATTTAAAAATAAAACCCAACTTCTATTAGATAGATGAAAAACAGCTATTATAAAGCAACATGTATTTACAGAAAAACCAGGAAAAAATCCTATAGATATAAAAAAAACTGTTTAAATAAAATCCAAACAAACTTGTACTCCTACTAGTCAAACATTCCATTTTCCAAGTCTTTTATTATGCATACAGATATCCCAATATATATGTGTATCTTTTTCTTAAATAGGACTGTTATCAACTGTCTTAACATTTTTCTCAGTAAAAGTATATTTCAATGAATTTAAGAAAGCTTTGATTATAAAATTATTACTTCGTATGTGCTTAAGAACAAAAGATTGTCAATTAAATTAGGACAAAACAGTGATTGTATGAAACACTGGATGATCACATAGATGTTAAAAAAAAACCAAGAACTAGTACTTTGAATTGATGAAAGAAGAGTAACTATCAAACTCAAATATTTTTCTATATAAATTCATATATTTTTAATGGCTGCATAGTTTCCACTATATGTTTTATACATTTACATACATATATATATATACACATACATACATACATATATATGTGGCCATTTAAATTTGCATATAATTTTGCTTGATGTGAATATTATAACAATCTCATGGAAATCTTTGAGTATATCATTTGTTATTCTGTCAAGGTAAGTTTTTATAAGTAGAATTACTTTCTTAAAAAGATACACGTACTTTTAAGGGTCTTGATACATCTTTCCAAACCATCTCCAATAGGGCCAGGATTTAGCTCAGTGGCATAAGCGCTTGCCTGGCAGGTGCTAGGTTGTGAGTTTGATCCCTGGTACCAAAAAAAAACGAAAAAAAACCAAAACACAAAAACAACCCCCCTGCCAAACCTATCTCCTATAAAAGGCTGCAGCAGTATACAGTATAAAGGAATTTATATCATTTGATTTTTTTCCCTCCAACATTCCCCTACCAAAGAAGGAGAGGTCTTTGTTATTTTTTTTCTGCTTCTCTTAGGACAATGTAATCCCCATCCACAGTGTGAAAAATGGCATCTCCATTGTTACTTTGTGTTTCCTCGATCACTAATGAAGTCAAACATTTTAAGAATTTGGGCCTTCATGCATACTAGTTTCTTTGGCTTTGTCTTCTCCAGAGTTAAAGCTGCATGCCTCCCCAAGATGAAAATGCCTGGTGTCTATCAATGGTCTTTTCATAGACCCTCTACAGAGCTATCTCTGACTGCCAATCAACAACCATGACCCCTTCCAGCCTAAAGAAGCCAGATTGGTCATCGCCCATTTCTCCCTTATTTCTCCTTCACGAAAGTTCAGGGTACTTCTCCAGAAGGGGGAATATTATAGGCAACTGAGTTAGATAGAAATATTAGACAGGCAGATAGGGCTAGGCCCTGAAAGGAGCCAGTGAAGAAGACCACATATCTTGTAACTTTGGAAGAGACAGACACCTTCTGCTGTGGGTCAGATCTCAAGACAAAACATCAAACAAATGCAACCACACCCTAAGTATAAACATCAAGGACATTCTAAATAGGCATAGAGTCTTAAGGAAGAGTCAGCATCCCAACTCCCTATAGGGGGAATCACTGCTCTTTAAGCATGACTGCTTATATGTGACTTACTTCCCCATTTGCCCCTGATTTAGTCAATTTTACCTGAACAGTTCATCTTCTTGGTTGACCATAGTTCTGTTCCATTTCATGACCACCTTGCAAGTTCTGATTTTTCCCCACCATCTTACTTCGTTGTTCTGCTCTATGTAAGTCCCTAGAAAAGACAGTCTTTGGCAACTCACTTAGGACCCCTGTGTCTCTCAGACAAAAGCTTTCTTTCACTCAAATAAATATATTCTGCTCTTAAAATTAGGCTTTAAGAATCAGACAGACTTGGGTTTATATATCCAAGGTCCCTCAATTTCAGCTGGGTAGTCCTGAAGAAGCTAGTTAGTTTCTCAGTCTGTTTCTTCCTGTACAAAATGGGGTAATAATGTCAGCAAACACTGTGAGATACATTTAAAGTATTTACCACTATACCTAACTCATATTTGACACCTAACAAATACGATTATTTGCTTACCGTAAAGCTGAGATATGAGGCTCTCTTCTCTTCTTTAAATCATCAGACTTGATCATGAAGGAAAGAAAACAAGGATTTATTATTATGTATTAGGCACAAAAAGCAGAATAGTCTAGTGAAGGCCCTGGCAGTATAATACTGTGGGTAAGAGTGTGGACTCTAGGGCTGGGGATTTAGCTCAGCGGCATAAGCGCCTGCCTTGCAAGCAGGCAGTCGTGAGTTCGATCCCTGGTACCGATGAAAAGGAAAAAGACAAAAAAAAAAAAAAAAAAAAAAAAAAAGAGTGTGGACTCTGAAGCCAAACTGCCTAGCTTTGGTACATGGCCTTTCCATCTGGCAGATCTGACTTGGGCAAGTTACTTCATCTTTATGTACCTTACTTAGGAGAAAATACCCTACTCATTACAGAGAACTTTATGTTTATTGAGGGAAATAATACTCATAAAAGAGGATTATTGGCATAAAGATGCTAAGTGCAAAGGAAAAATAACTGCAGGGAACAGAAGCAAGGGAGTGCTGATAGCAGGGAGGAGTTGCAATTATAAAGGTAGACCAGGATAGAAGTCAATGAGATAAAGTATCTTCCAGATGCACAGGGTGACTGCATGGCTAAGTCTACAAACATTACATCAAAAAATTTTTAACACTCCTAAGTGAAATCCCATACCCATTAGAAGTTATTGCTCAGCTTCTAATAACCTGTAAACTGCTGCCTATATATATATGTCTATTTTGGATGTTACATATAAATAAAATCACACAATATGTAGCCTAGTTTCTTTTACTTAGCAAAAGTTTTCAAAGTTCATCTTGCAGGAGCAGGTACCTTTCTACAGCTAAGTAGTACTCCTGTGTATAGGTATATCGTGTTTATGCATCTGTCAACTGATGGACATTTGAGTTCTACTATTTGGTTATTATAAATAATGTTATGCACACTTGTGAGAAAGTTCCTTTTTTAAAAAATTCTATGGGCAAGTTTTTATATGAGCATGTATTTTCAATTCTCTTTTATTTTATTTTTTTGGTACTAGGGATTGAACTCATGACCTTGTACTTTCCAAGCAAGTGCTTGTGCCACTGAGCAAACTAACTCCACAGTTTGGGTTTCTTTATATTTTAAAAGAACACAATGGCTGTACTGTGTAAACAAGTGAGTAGGAGACTGGTTAACAGTGATAGACTAATTCTGGTGAGAGACAAAGACAGCCTGAACCAGGTGTTGCAAGTGGTAAGGCATTTTTCTTTTTTGATACTGGGGATCAAACTCATAACCTAGCACATACCAGGCAAGTGCTTATGCCACTGAGCTAAATCCCTAGCCCCACCCTATTTTAAAGGCAGAGACTTTTCCTCAGTGGAAGGGATATAGAGGTAAAAGAGGAGTCAAGGATGACTCATTTTTGGCTTAAGTTACTAAAAAGTAGCCAGTAGTTGACATAGGGAAATGGAACAGATTAGGAGAAGGCCAGTTTTAGACCAGTGTGAGATTCATGCCAGACAGTGAAGAAGACACAAAGCCATAAGGCTCCATGGGATCGAACTCACAACCTACAGCTAAAAATCATGGTAAGATTTACAACAAGGATTTGTTTCTCTTATAAATAGAACAACAGGTATCCTCTTGGGGTATAGGGAAATGTCATGGAGTTTTCACACTTCTGAAACAGAATCCGCCCTGGTCCATACAGTCAGGACATTGGGAGTGGTCAGAGTAAATGCAGATGTTATTTCTGAATCTCCAGTTCTGATCATTTGATTTTCTGAATTCAGAGTCTCATCATTAACCTGGTTAATTTTATCATATGCTCAAGGCCCAAATATAAGACTGTAGGGCAGCTGGCCACTTGATAATAACAAATAGAAAAAATGCATAGTATATTCTCTTAGATAAACTCAAAGGGAAAATGCAAAGAAAACAAAACAATTCTTCATCTTTATGTTCTGAAATTTTAAGATCTGATTTCACTGAGACTTTTCTAAAGGATTTTTCCAAGACTGATGTATCTCATGTACTGAAAGATATTCCACAAACTGGGGAAATCAGTGAGTTACATTTTTATAGACTGGGATGTGTCTTCTAAGAAAAGAAAAAATAACCCTGATTTCAAGATAGTACTTTTAGCCAAATTAAATGCCCACCAAAAAAAGAGAACAGATTTAACTGTGATGGCTATACTACAATGCAAAACACACTGCAACAAAAGTAGCCACTTAAAAGATATGAACTCAAAATTTTAAATGGTTACAATTTTCCAACACGAGTGTCTTCATATCATTCCTTAAAACCTATTTCATTCTTTCGTAGCATATTTACTGGCTCAATGTGTTTCTTGATTTAACTCTGTTACCATCAATATTCACATTATTATTTTACATTCTTAAAAGTCACAGCACAAACTGTCAAAATCTATCATAATTAAAGCACTTAGTGTACAGTTAACACTCAGTACACTTGGGGTTTTATTTTGTTTTTGACACAGGGTCTCACTATGTAGTTCCTGCTGGCCTTGAATTCACTATGGAGCCCAGGCTGGCCTCAAACTCAGCAATCCTACTGCTTCAGCCTCCTGAGTGCTGGGATTACAGGCATGCACCACCATGCTCAGCCTATCTCTTGTTAAATGTAGGAGTGCCTTTTAGAAGTCAAGGTGAGAACCTTCCATGGCAAATTCAATCTTAAACCTCATCTTTTAAAATTTGTGATGTTTTATTTTACAATAACAAACAAAGATGTGTATGTCACATAGTAATACTATTCACATATGATCTCCTTGACCATCAGCAAATTCAAAAGATGAACTAGAATGAAGTTAGAATCTATCTAGTACATATGCAATTATTTGGGTTAGTGTATGTATAGGTGACTGTGGGAGGTGTAGACTGCTTTTATTATTAGTGACGTGTGCTTGTTGAGAAATAATGTAATGAATGGGTTCCAACTATTCCATGCTTTCCTTGTTTTACTAGACTTAGGCATTTTCAGTCAAATGTTCATGTAACAAGTAGAAGTATAAATCATGTTGTCTGCATATCCTTTTTGTATTATTGCATAAGACTACCATTGATCATCTAACTTCTACTGCAAATGACTAACTCATAAAGATCGTTTTAAAAAATGAATTAAAAAATTAAGATACCCTTAACACTGTTTTCTTATGGCAGTACCTACTTGTTTTTACAATCTCAAGTCTTAATTTTATATATAAATTTCTGAGATAGAAAAATTAAAATGACAGATGAGTAAATACCTGTTGGAACTTATATAAATCATTGTATTTTTCATGGAAGTCCAAGTTCAAAAGTTCTTTGTGAAGCCCTTCCAAGAAGTCTTGGCTTTGGATGAAGTTTGGGATCACGCAGTGAAGAAATGGGTCCATATCCATGACAATGGCTTCTGTTAGAAGGAAAACATTATCTATCTCTTCCCTTTTGTATTTCTGACCAAGTAACATAGCAGAGAAAACACAAAAGGAGATGATACTGAATTTTGAGAACTTAATACCTAAGCTCCAAGATTTGGGGTAAGAATTATAAGCTCTGCCCTTTTTTCACTCACCATTCTACCTTTTAAATAGAATGTGATTAAAACACTAATTTTTAAATTGAGTAAAGATGATGCTACTAAATCAAAGTTATTAGCCAGGCATGGTGGTACATGTCTGTAATCCCAACATTTGGGAGACTGAGGCAGGAGGATCATCACTGAGTTCAAGGCCAGCCTGCACTACATAGTGAGATCCTGCCTCAAAATCAATCAAAGTTCTTGCTATTTTTAGTTTTTCAGTGTAATCTAAATGTATATTAGATTCTTAATTCATCCCCCCCCCCCAAACTAAAACAAGAACAACAAATTAAATGAGAGTAACAATAGTGGCTGGAAATTTCTCTTCAATTTATCTTTTCTTTTTCCAACTTACTAGAAGAAAGTCATTGAACACTTAAAAAAACTGGTTCAGCACAAGTGCTATTAATTCCTTGATTTATTCCAACAATATACCCATTAGTTCTAGCGGGCTAGATTACTATTTCTCTAATACAATCAGATGGCTGGCTTAATGCTATTTTATATCTCATTTAGACATCTGCAATTCTGGGGTAGGTGTTATCATATACAGTACCCATTTAACAAATGATGAAATTAAGACTTGTAGTGGTCTGCGATTACACTTTAAACACCAAGCTCTACATCCCCAGCACCCAGAATTTGGCAATTGGATGTGTTTAACAACTGAAAAAAATGGGGTGAACTTTGGAAGAAAATGCACAACACATTAAGCAGAGTTCTTATCCTTTAAGGTGATAACTTGAAGCTGAGGCGGAAATCCTTTGACGAACGTTCTTTACCTTGGTCACCACACATTACGTCATATAGTGGAACTACATCAAAACGAGTAAATTCAAGTACTTGCTCTCTGGCAGCTCACAACAAACGCTCTGGCTAAATTATCATGGGATCATTGAACATTAGCCTTGCCGGAAAATCACATATGACTCTCAAGTATCTGTCTACATGTTTATTTTTCCTTATTCAGAGAAGCATTCAATGACGCTTACATTCATTGGCCTGTTAATCTGTCTGAGGTAAATACCATTAATTATACAATTTTGTAAAAGAAGGAACTGATGCTTAAAAAGGTTAAATCCACTGCCAAGACGCACAATCTGTGAAGATTCTAACTCAGGGATCTCCAATGACAGGATTCAAACAGTAATTTTATGCCCTCAACTTCCGACTCTCTACGGCCTACATTTTTTCTTCCAGGTTTTTTAATTCAAACTGAATGTGGAAGGAAAAGCGAGGTAAAGGGGTCAGAAGTGGCCGAAATCCTCCAAATATCTCCTCTACGGCCCTGCCGCCCAGGGCTGGGCTCGAGCCCTCCCGGTTTTTCAGAGGTTTCTAGTTTCCTACGCAACATTCCTCCCTCACAGCACCCGGTTACCATGACTGAATGGCGTCTTGTGGATCCAGGCCTCGGCCACATGCTTTTTCAAGGTTTTTTCCTTGACAGCGTCCGAAAACTCTGCCACCACGTCCTTCTTTACCCTCTTGCCCACTCTGGCCGGGCCGGGTTCCGCGGGCCGCTTCTCACTCATGTCTCAAGGTATAGAACCGCGCCACACCAATCGCGATGCTACTTTCCTCTCCAAACTACTATTCCCAGAATGCCGCCTTTCTAGTGTTAACTAGTGCTACTTTATATTGCGACAGCCAAATACGAGGAGGCGGAACCTCTACCAGATTTACCAATGAGAGCGCCAGATTCTGAGGTTATCCCACCAGCGATTGGTCCAAAGTGGTTCGACCTGGAAGGCCTTAGCCTCTCCACTTCCTACCGCCGGGGAGGTCAGATTCACTTCCGGCGTAAGTAGGGATCCCTCTGCGCTTTTTTGTTAATGGCGGGTGGCGGCTACTGAGCGGGACGCAGATAACCGCTGACCGAACTGGGAAAGTTTCCCCTTCCTCCGGCTTCCTGCTCGCTTCCAAGGCCAGAGCTTGCCAGCATGTCTGTGGTACCGCCCAATCGTTCGCAGACGGGCTGGCCGCGGGGAGTCAACCAGTTCGGCAACAAGTACATCCAGCAGACCAAGCCCCTCACCTTGGAGCGCACCATCAACCTGTAAGTGTGGCGCGGCCTTCACGGGCATCCTTGTGAACATCTGCAACAGGGGCTTCTCCTTCCGGCGCGCCTCCCTGCCCGGGGAACGTCATCCAACCGCAAGGCTTTAGAGTCCATTTAGAAAAGGTGTTCCATATATATATATGTATGAATGTACATATATATAACCGGGAATCGAACTCAAGATCTCGCGCTTGCCAGGCAGGCACCGCGCCGCTAAGCTACATCCCCAGTCCAGGTTTATCGTTTTGAAAGAAAACATGTTTCCCATTCTCCCATATTCAGTCATTATGAGTAACACCGAAGTTTGTTTTGAATTTATCCTTTCCTTACCTGTCAGAATATGTTTTTAAAAATTCTTCCCTTTTGGGCTTTCACATCACCTGTATGGTATTGCCTTATCTGTTTTTATTTGAAATAAATGGTAGAACTATCATTTTAGCGCTTTATACTTTTCTGTAATAGCAAGCTTTCAAGATATACCCAAAATTTGTAGGTTTAGTTTTTTCCTTTAAGCCCTGTCTAGTAGTAGCTCGCTTTGTGCATACCCCATGTTTTGTTCTGTTTCACAGCGAGGGGATCTCGAGCACCCTGTAGATTCTCCTTTGGCGACGTGGACACTAGTTTGATAGTCATGCAGACTCTGAAAAGGAGCAAAATGTTGCCTATGTTTTATTTTCAACACATCTTTTTCTTTAAGGAAACCATTGCTTTGGGGTTTTTTTAGGGAGGCTGAGACAGGATCTCCCTTTGTAGTTCAGGCTGGCTTTGCCTCAACCTCCTGAGTGCTGGAATTACAGGTGTGCATCTGAGTCACAGGTTTGCTTGGCTGCAAATCATTGCATTTCAGTCACTCTCAAAAGTAATTTTACCGAAACAATTGGTATTTGAGCTGTGTCTTCCTCAAGAAATTGTCAGTATCTTTCATTTTTGAGTTTGTGAGGCAGTGTAGCATAAATGAACTTTCATCCTCCAAACCAAAAGTGGTTTGAAGTTAAAAAGATATGTATTATTGTGTTTTTTATTTTGTTTTTCTTTTGCAAAAAGGTGCTGGCTTGGAACTTTAGGTAATAAAATGCTAGGCTTTATAAAGTCAAAATTGGTTGATAGTTGTGTGTATAAAATTAATTTGTGTAACTTTATGTTAACTTGTAGCACTTTAATTTCATGTCACTTTTTTTTAGAATACCCTCATAAGATTCCCATGAAATGGAAAAGCCAGCATTTTTAAAGTGTGAACGCACAACTTTGGGATTATATTCAGTAATGAGCAGAACTAAAATCCAGTTTTGATGTGCTTTTCTTTTTGGCATTGAGGTTCAGCATGCAATTGTTATGAAAAATTGGTGAAATAGTTGTGCTTTCAGAAAAATGTTACACTTTGCTACATTGAAATTGTATACTGATACTTTGTGAATGTAGTATGGAGAAATAATCACTGAATTTAAGTTGATCAATACTGATAAGTACTGATAATTGAAAATAAATCTACCTCAGTATATTTTTGTTTAGGAAATACTACATGTGTACTTGTTACCAGACATTGTACATAATATTGGGTATACAGTGGTGAGGAAGAAAGATATTATGCATGCTTTGGGATGCACACTGTATGATGATAGATAATCTGGGCTTACTGATATGCGAGTTGGCTTTTGCAATGGAGAGGTGTTGTGTAACCTTAGTTCTTTCTAATTTGGGTTGTGAGAACTAAATTTTTAACACATAGAAAGTATTTTAAACACTTGTCAGGCACATAGTGCTAGACAGTGTTAGATTTAGCTTTGGGTACACTGGAGAAGTTCTTTATGATCCGTAAAATATCCTGGAGACAATGTATTTTAATTATTTTAGAGCTGCTTTTATGCCTAGATTTGGCTTCTGAAATCAATTTTTTGTTGTTTTAGCAACCTTGATTTTTCCTTTTCAGTAATAACAGAGTGGAATAGATGTGTAGTTAACTATAATATCAAGGACTTTCGATAAATACATTGTGAATGTGACTAAAACATTCTTACTGGAAGGTACATAATCATAGGATTATAAGAAGATATATATGATACACTAGAAATGTGGAGATATAAACTATCTTTAAGGAAAAATTTGATCTTCGCTAGGTAAGATGAAAACTGTCTTTGACAGTATAAGCTATATTTTGAGTTCTTGGTAGAAGGATGAATACTCAGATTACATATTGTGAGTAGAAGATTCTCATGAGAAAAAAAGAATAAGGTTACTGAATAGAATGAATACAGACGGCAAGAAAGACTTCTTACTAGCTTTAGGTTGGAAAGAAAATACAGAAAAGTTGATCTGAAAAGAAAAGGTTATGATGCTAGAAAAAGCTGAGGGCAGTTAACAACGATAGAAAACTGGAAAGATAATAGGCAGTAGTGGCTCAGCATATAGGAAAAAAAGAGATTAGCCATTAACACTGATAATTACTAGAATTATGATTAGATTAGAGGAACTAGGTTGGTTATTGTTGGTATAACAACCATGATGTAAAACCAGAGTATTACTAATTTCTAAATTATCTTCTCTCTAAGCATTTAAGGACCTTGAGGTAGTGTTACCTATGCTTGAGAGACTGTACTCAAATTTGTAATCCTCCTGCCTCAGCCTCCGTAGGACTGTTATTACATATGAGTAGCACCACACCTGACAAGGTTATGTCTTGGTCATGTGGAAGCTCTGGTTTTAAGAGTCCAAAGCATATTGTAATCACTGCCATTTCATTAGCTAATTAGGTAATTTGGGACAAATCTTTTGGTTTTGTTTCTGAGGACAATGTGGACACATTTGACCATGGTTTCTTTCTCTGTGATTGCTATCTGTTGTGGCATGTTACGGTCTTCAGTTCTCATGCTAGTTACTTGTCTTTGGATCATAGGTACCCCCTTACCAACTACACTTTTGGTACAAAAGAGCCTCTCTATGAAAAGGACAGCTCGGTTGCAGCCAGATTTCAACGCATGAGGGAGGAATTTGATAAAATTGGAATGAGGAGAACTGTAGAAGGGGTTCTGATTGTACATGAGCACCGGCTTCCCCATGTGTTACTACTACAGCTGGGAACAACTTTCTTCAAATTGTAAGTGTTGTTAGAAATTAACATTTAATGGAATAACTTTTAATGAGATTTATGCAGCTGTGGAGTACAACTTTCGCCTTTAGTCATTTATTTCAACAAACATTGCTGGTAATAGAGCCTTTAGGAAAAAAAAATAAGTATTTTCTTTAGTGTAGTATTCATTTATTTTTCTCACTAGAAATCTTCATATGCCTGTATATTGTTGATGTTACTGATTGAGTTTGGTAGGAAAAAGTATTATGGTAGAATTACTAAGAGCAGTTGATAGTATTTCTCCCTTAGTATGATGTAGTTTAGTTCTTCCTTATAAAGTCATAAAATTTTTATTATATGGTTAGTCCGCAACTGTTGGATGATACCACAAAAAATTTCAAACTTAGATTGAAGTTCTTTTTTTTTTCTTTCTTAATTTTATTTTAAAGAGAAAAAATTCAAAACAAGATAATAGAGTAATAATGGTTAATGCATTGCGTGTAATAACATTTGCGTCTTCAAAGTAGTTACTCAGAGTACAAGACATAAGCATGAAAAATTGTCTAAACAGTATTAGTACACACCTTTTCAATGAACTAACAGAAGCTAGTAGTAGAACTATCATGTATGTATGTATATATATTTTTCCTTTTCTCTTCCTTGTTTTCTCCTTCCCCCATCCCAGTTTCTGTTTCCTTTTGAACAGTTTCTTCCTATACAATATCTATTGTACATTTTGGATCTTATTTATTCTAAGGTTGAAATTCTTGAAAAATGTCTTATTCTTTAGACCTAAAGAATGCCATCAGTTCAGAGAGGATATTGGGATGTATTGGTGACCAGCACTTACATTTGTGTATATGCTGTATTATATATATTTTCTTTTTAAAACTAGCATTGTATACTGTTAGTTTGGTCAACTTTCCTGCATATTTTTTCCTCTGCTGTTGATATTTGTTAGTTTTGAGTGCCTTATCCTATAGTGAAATATTTAGCTGCCTGATGGAAAGTTAATATATTCTTCCTGTTATAACCAAATTGTATTAAGTTGAAATTGTTAATCTTTATACAGACCTGGTGGTGAACTTAATCCAGGAGAAGATGAAGTTGAAGGACTAAAACGCTTAATGACAGAGGTATTTTTCTATTTAGTCATTTTGACAGTTTTGTTGCTCATCTGAATACCACTATCTTTTGTTATAGCTTATGAAAAGGTTAAGTTTATTTTGTTTTTGTTTTCAATAAGTATAAATGAAACCCAAACATTAGTATAATGTTTATTTTCTGCAAGTTGAATTTATACTTATCTTAACATTTTAAAAATGGAAATGTTAGTGGGCTAGGGGTATAGCAGCACAGTGGCTACGTGGCAATCATAAGATCCTGAGTTGGATTCTTGGTGTCTCCCACCCCTCAAAAAAGAAGTAAGAGGAATCCTGATAAAAGTGGAAATGTTGATGTAAGAATAATGGTAAATAAGAAACCAGCATGTA